CTGCCAACAGAAGAGTGTAACCCTGAGGTATGCCAAGACCTTGTATCTAAGGTGCTTATAATTTGTGAAAAATTAGAAATTTTTCATTTAATAACCTTACAAAAACACAATTTGATTTTATTTACCTGCAAACAGCCGCTTGTCCATAGGGGGTGCTAGGGCCCCGCCCCACCATTCTCCCAGGAAGAAGAAAAACGTAGGAATCACAACATTAAAAAAAAGAAAACATTAAAATTAAACAAAACAAGCTATACATCATACAATACTGTGTATAATCTGCATTTAGGTATAGTTTTAAAATGTTATTTATACTTTTAACACTACCGAATCGTCTTGTGACGTATTTCCTAATACTTTTGGTGATATGGAGGAGCAGCGGCTCTACTCTGAATCTCTCCCAAATGTCCGAGCTCCTCACCCTATCACTAAGGCTGAGCCTAGCCAGTCCGCGGAGAAAAGTCATTCCGGCCGATTGAGTCCGTGATCTTGTTCTTTCGGTCATTACCCAAAGCTCATGACCATAGGTGAGGACTGGGCGGTAGATCGACTGATAAATCGAGAGCCTTGCTTGCCAGCTCAGCTCCTTCACCACAACAGAATCGGCTCAGCGTCTGCATCACTGCAGCAGCTGCTCCAATCTGCCTGTCGATCTCCCGCTTCCTCCTTCCCTCACTCGTGAACAAGACCCGGAGATACTTGAACTCCTCCATTTAAGACAGGACCTCTCTCCCGACCCGGAGTTGGCAAGCTGCCCTTTTTTTGTCGAGAACCATGGTCTCATACTTGGAGGTGCTGATCCTCATCCCAGCTACTTCACACTCAGCTGCGAACTTCCCCAGCAAGAACTGTATGTCAGAGCCTGATGAAGCTAGGAGGACCACATCATCCGCATAAAACATAGATGAGATTCTCCTGCTACCAAACTCCACACCACGGCTGCACCTAGAAATCCTGTCCATAAAGGTTATGAACAGGACCGGTGACAAAGGGCCGCCCTGGCGGAGTCCAACCCTCACTGGGTATAGGTCCGACTTACTGTCGGCTGTATGGTCCAAACTCACACTCCTCTGGCACAGGGACTGAATGGCCCTTAGCAAAAGACCATCCACTCCATACTCCTGGAATATCTGTAAACATCTCCATCTCGCACTCCGTCCTCCACCACTCATGAGGAAGATACCAAGATACTTAAGCCCCCTTGCTTGAGGCAAAGATTCGTCCCTACTGAATACTATCTCAACCACCTTAACGTGCAGGAAGAGTTTTAGTACCCGTTTTAGAAAACTCTAATAGGGCATCCCATGGTAAAATAGCCTCGGGGGAGGGGCCAAATCAGGAATTTGAGCACCTAAGATTGAAACCTTTAGACAAATCATAGCAACCGTTAAATGATTTTGCTCTGCAGGTTGATCTAACAATGCTCCATTGTCCTTCAGCAGGTCTACCATTGTCTTGGCTAAGTGGAGGCCCGGCCAATCACAGTGCTCAATAGCGCTTTAATGTTAATTCTGTTTGTTTATTTTTGTTTTGTTTTGATTTAAACATGTTTTTTGATCCGTTATTTTAAACGAAAAATGAAAAACGCATCATTACAACAACAACAGGGATGGAACGGATAAAAACTAGCAGAATGATGGCAATAGAGAAAAGGCGCTCGTTTGTTCCGTTTTGACGTCAACTTTGCACAGTTATTTTCTTTTATTTGTCTATTTCTCTTTTGACTGATTTAATTCAATATGTTTCTTTATTATTACCCTGGTTTTTATGTCCTGTTAAGCACCTTGGGCCTCCACTAAGGTGGTAGAAGGTGCTTTTTAAATGAACAAATTGAATTGAATTGAACTTTGGACTATTTACATTTGGACTTTTCTTTGAGAGGTGCAGATGGAGGTACTTAAGTCCTTTATTTCGAGAAAAGATGCTGTATGGCGGACTACCTCGTCGACTGCTTTCCGTAGCGATGAATGCGGCACGTTGTTCGTCTGTCTGACTGGTTGTAGTTTTGACCAATTGTGTAAAGACAGTTTGAATTCCACCCCTACGACTGAGCTGTGTCTATGGGTCGTGATCAGACTGTATATTTAAAATATAGGATGGCATGTTATGAATCATTAGTTCCTGGGTTTATCATGTGGCTTGAGCTTGTTGATATCTGACATTATCCACATTATAATTCAGTTAACCTGAGATGTACGGCTCCAGCTCACAACCAAAACTTATGTACTTGGGTAACATAAATGTAATTACAACTGCTATGCCTTTTAGCATTCTTGCTTTCTATTCCTCTGATATTTATTTATGTAAACGCTAGCTGCGGTGTTTATTAGTGCGGCACGGTGGAGAAACGAGGGCCCAGCGGGTTTTGATCTCCAGACTCCAGGGTGAGAGTCACGAGCGCTAACCAATCAGCCAGAGGGACATCCGCTTGGCCAAGTAGCCAGGGCGCATGATCAGTCGGGATACAGTGACACTCACCCTGTCACATCAGGAAAAGGTCCTTATAGGTGTCAATGCATCCTCCCTTAATCACTTACAGAAAGTCCATAATGCTGCTGCAAGATTCCTTACCAATACAAACAGACAATGTCATATCACTCCCATCTTGGCTGGTTTACTCTGGCTCCCCGTGTACTTTGATGTTTAACTACAAAGCTTTCAATGATAAAGCTCCTACCTACCTGTCTGAGCTGCACACATATTACCTCCCCTCCTGATCACTATGATCTGTGGATCAGCACCAGCATCAGCTTTGCTGCTCCTGAGCTGTGGAACGCATTCCCTCTGGATGTGTCTCTGACATTGGCGCAGTTTAAATCATTCATGAAGTCGCATCTCTGTCATTTGGCCAGAAGTCGATGAACTTCTACTTCCTTTTTCTGTTTTTCGACTGATTCATATTCTATTTTATGCTTTACCCCTATTTTCAGTAGTTTTGTTTTGATGTGAAGTCTTTGTACTACGTGCTGTGCTGCTCCATACTCTGGTTTCAGTGTTTTTTAATGATTAGAACTTTTGCTTTTACTCATTATGAGGGGCTTTTAAAGAGACAATGTGTAGTTTTTACCATTGATCTCTAGAAATATCCATCAAATTTTTCTTGAAATTGAAATAAATGATGCCCAGTTGGTGGTTTTGTAACAAATAACCATAAAACTTGGGTCTAAAATACATGAGAATGGGTCTAAATCTCTGGGCGGCACCATATTAGACGCCATGTTTCCTTCTACAGGAGCCCGTGAAGACAAAATGCATTTACTGGTTTGTAACAAACGGTTCCACCATTCATAAACATTGTTGTTTACCTCTTCACTCGTTGCCAGTGATGAAAGGGAGTCTGATGTGCTTGTCATTTTGCTGGAGGTTGAGCTCTCATAGATTTTTGACCCTAATAGCCTTCCATCGGTAAGATCTTACTCGAACACAAAACTACCGCCTGCTTGCAATGATTTAGGTATGTGCTGGGACTTATCACCAGGGAAAATACACATTGGCACTTTAAAGTATATTTTTACTGCTACTCTTTATTTGTTTGGCTCTTTAGTCAGCTGATGTGCCGTTTTTAAATGTGACTTACACATAAATGTGGTATGGTATTTTATCTTTGTGCGTTTGTGAATGAAATAAAATTAACCAGCTTTTATTCATTTGTCTGCAGAACCAGGAAGCAAAACAAGAGAAACTCATGTTTTATGTACGCATTTGATGAAATTCATTTCATTCATGTACGTTGATGACTTATGATGAGTCACTGCCTGGTAGAATTGGAAGCACTGATGATTGCTCCACTGAAATGATGCACAAAGAACACGTGACTTGAACAAACATCAAACACATCACCCGTTTGGATAGTTACTCGTAATCTGACTCAGCTTTGTTTCCCATAAAACATATCTTCTATCCAACTAAATACGAAGCAGTAAGTGACTTGGCAAATTAAAAAACCCCGACAAAGAGCAGGATTAGTGGTTACCTTTAATCTGCTTGATGCAGTCACAAATCAATTTGTAAATTCTTTAATTTTTTTTTTGGAAGGACTTTGCGTTCTTCCTGGTGAAGTGAAGCAAGAAAATGAGTCCGTGGTAAGGATGAAACATGGAAGGTGATTGGATTTGGAACAATCTAGACCAACGTAGATCGGATGACACTATTTAAACCAGAAGTTCTAAATATGGATTCGACACAAGTTTAAAAGTAACGTTTGGTTACTGAATGAAGTAATAAACAGACTTGTTGGTGGAGGTATACGGAAAGTACATCCGAACACTCATGTATCTCATTCAGACCGCCACCGTGTTATCAGGAAACGGCCTACCTGGATGGTCTCATGGGTTGGCTTCTTGCAGATGAGAAGAAACTGAAACAAAATGTTCAACCAAAATCACAGCGAGCAGGCTGAGGTCATAGTGAGATAGAGGCTTATGGAAACACTGATGCTCTGACTAACATGACCGGCCTCTGAAACTGCTCCCGCAGGAGCCCCAACAGAGCAGGACAGTAAAATCTCACTGGGCAGTCGGACAGTCGATCTGACCAGCTCGAGATCAGCCAAAAACTAATACCTGCTCTTCTCCCAGGTGCTCAGAAGAGATGACGTTGAGACAAAATGTAGATTTCCTTTTATTTTCCATCAGATGGTGCACCTCATATATGCCCAGTTTTTACAAGTAGCATCACTTTCTTCCTAATAAATGGATGGCATAGAACAATGGAACAGGACGTGTCTCCAGAGCTTGTTTGCCTTCGGCGTACCTGTTTTCCACAGCCTTGGCCTTGTAAAAGTTTTAACATACTTTCTACAAAATTACATCATTTCATAGCTTGTTAAAATGAAGTCATGGTAATGTGTAGGAGCATTTAGCTTCATTGTGCTAAAGCTAAGAACTGTGCTATCCAACATACTCCTCTAATGATCCTCACACCTTGTTAAAACTGAACTACGTTTTCTACTTCTTTTGTGTTGAAAAACGCCAGTCTTCAGTTTTCTTTGTGTCTTGTTTCAGACGGATGCAGTGAAAAGGGCTCTAAAGGATCTGAATCTGAACATCGTGGAAATGACTGATGAGAACGCCACACTGGATGGGGGAGATGTGCTGTTTACAGGTAGGTTTTGGATGATTACATGACTTTCACCTGTGGAGGTTCCCAGATCTCCCCCCAGCTCATATGCAGGGATACCTAGGTCTCAGGACACCTGTGATATAATCTGTTCACCAATTTTTTGGTCTGCCCCAATAGGCGTGTTTTCACTATTGGAACTTCGGGGTAATTTTCACAGAAAGTGTCCACATCACCGGGCTCGCCAAACGGGCCATTTACTGGGCCATTTTCAGGAACCAACCGAGGCCCGGAAGAGTCACTGAGCAGAGCTTTTACGCTGACTGGTTGGACATTGTCCAAAACAACCGGCATTAGTAAAATTAAAATAGTTGCGCAAGTAAAAAAAAATCCCAGCTGGTGCTGCTTTATCATAGCTGTAACTAAACTCCCAACACCGAAAAATGCAGCAGAATTCCCCCCACAGCAACACAATTTGTCATTTAACATTTTACATCGCACAGTCACTCTCCATGCCCTCCAAATGAATTAAATTGCCATACTTTGACAGAATAAAACGTTTAATGTCCGTGTGTAGTTTCTGCCTTGTTGCTGCACACAGCACACAATAGGAAATGTCGACAAATTTAAAATTCAGCTGTGTGAACTAGGCCTTAACTACTTACACTATCATTTAGATCAGTGACCCACTTCTAACATGGAGATGATTATGCAATTTTGTCCAGTTGGAGGTATTGATAATCATCAATGTTGCTTCACAGCTAGCAAAAACTGTCCCAGTGCCAGCTGAAGGTCCCAGTTCGATTTGGTCAACGGAAAAACAAACTGTAAAAGGTTGTGATGGAATCTGAATCTTTTCAGACTCAAGACCGGCTCCTTGGATGAACCTAGAAAATCTGTCTATAACAGTTTTAAAGTTAAAGTCCCATCAGTTGACACACACACTAATGTGTGTGGAAAATTTGTTCTCCGCATTTGACCCATCCCCCGGGGGAACGGTGAGCTGCGGACACAGCCGCGCTCGGGAACCATTTGGTGGTTTAACCCCCAATCCAACCCGTTAATGCTGAGTGTCAAGCAGGGAGGCATTGGGTCCCATTTTTTCAAAGTCTTTGGTATGACCCGACCAGGAATCGAACCCTGATCTCCCAGTCTCAGGGCGGACCACTAGGCCGCTGAGCTGGTTTTAACACACTGGTGATAATTGGCATCAACGGTTAGCCTAGAAATCCAGACCAACTGTTGCAGTAAAGACTTTGCTCTGCAGGTCAGTCTTGCCTAAGCAGGTCTAGCATTGACTTGACCAGTTTTGTGTCTTGCAAATCACAGTGCTCTATGTTTGTTAGGTGGACTTTACACTAGAGCTGCAACAAAATAGAATTACAAAGATGGGGTCAGCTCAGCAACCATGCTCATTTGAATCGGCTTTGGCATCAACTTCTTTAAGACATAAGCAGATAGAGGTACTTAAGCCAAAGGATGTATTTGCCTCTTCAACAGTGTATGGTGCAGGGGCGTGTCCAGGGAGTGGCCTGGGGTAGCACATGCCACCCTTAGAATCTGATTGGCCACCCCCAGGTGCCACCCCACTAAGTTCCAGTTTAAATTGACTTTACATTGTCGACAAAAGGCTTGGGTTGTAAACTCCAAAATAGTGTGTGGTTGCATGCACCTTTCACCTTGTTTTCTAGCCCAGGCATGTAGTATTAATATTATTTAATATTTTTTCATATTCACATACATAGTATTTAGAGTCCCACTCAACTCCAGTTGGTGGCAGTAATGCAACAAGAAGTGACTTGCTAACTACCACAAAGGTAGACGATGAAGAGGGGAAAAAAGGTGATTGTGCAATGTAAAACTGAAAAATTCACTAGAAAGTAAATAAATAAATAAACAATTTGTGTAAATAAATAAATAAGCATAACCATTGGTGCCACCCATGAATAAACAAGTGCCCCACATGGGCCACCCCATTTTAAAAGTCCTGGACACGGCTCTGGAATGGTGGACTGCCCCATAGCACTGTCCAATTGGGTGTTGAGACAGTTTGATAGACAACCGTAGATTCCGCCCCACGAATGGGTGGATTAAATGGGTCGTGGCCAGATGCATTTACATATATAGGATGGGTTACCAGGTTAAACCCTATTGTAAACACTAGAGACATACAACTGTAAGGATTTAACCACCATCTCACTTATAATGGGGAAGCTTCTGACAAAAAGACCCTTGTCGAAAAAAATAAAATGCAAATACTTTAAAAAGTCTAAATTCAGTTTATACAAACAAATTAGCATATTGACACATTTTTATTAAGTATATAAATGATAAATGACCTGCACTTGTATAGCGCCTTTCAGAGCCAGAGGACTCCAAAGCGCTTTACACTGCAGCGTACCATTCATCCATTCACACACTGATGGTGAATGTAACCACAGCTGCTCTGGGGCACACTGACGGCAGCGGGGCTGCCAAGCACAGGCGCCACTGGTCCCTCTGATCACCACCAGCAGGCAAGGCGGGTTACGTGTCTTGCCCAAGGACACAACAGCAGAATTCTCTGTTTGGAGCAGGATCGAACCTGCAACCTTCTGATTACCTGACAATATGCTGAACCTCTTGAGCTACTGCTGCCCAAACGAGGTGTCTGAGTTTGACCTGGCGAGCGATCAGGGGTGAATATTAGAAGGTGTTGTAAGCAGGAAATCACAGACATCAGTCGCTCGTATGGACGTAGACGCCTGAACACTTTAGTGAATGTGTCTGTTCTCAGCAAGTCTCTTTCACTGCAGCCTTGGAAACAGACAAAGCTAGAAAACCCAAAACTTGGTTGCCTTTTCTTTAGAGCTTCGGTACATTCTTTTACACTTGTGGGTTTGTGCCATCGTTGCTACACAATCCAGAAGGAAAACAGAACAGTACACTTAATTAGGTTTTTAGACACTGGCTCTGAGCTGTCGTTCTCTTCAGCTGGAGCTGGTTTCACGTGGCCGAGCTAGAAACATTTCCTGCTGGCAGGGCCCCAGGTAATGGCTCATATTGTAAAGGCTCAGCAGCAACATAAGGAGCCCCTCCGTGAGCTCACTGCGCTGGTGGATCCCTGCCAGGCATTAGAAGTTCTGCTTGTATGTAACCCATCAGAACGACCACATGCAGAGAGAACACAGACACAAATGCATTGTTCTACTATGATTGCCAGATTCATAGACATTTTATACTCCTGAGCAGGTTTAGATTTTGAAACTTCATATTTATCTCAGAATGCCAAATTATTTTCTTCTAGGTCAAGAATTTTTCGTGGGCCTTTCTAAACGAACGAATCAGAGAGGAGCAGAGATTCTCGCAGATGCATTTAAGGTGGGTTGGAGAGAAAAGGTAATGAGCCTGGTAAAGGTTACACGCAGTCAATTTTCTTAAGCCAAAAACAACTGAACGACTTGTGAAAGGAAGTAAAACGCCACGATCGACTCATTATTCTCTTCACACACACATTTCACAGTAATATCGGGTTGCTGGTGATTGCAAAAGCAGCTTGAAGTATTTATAGAGTTGACTATTTGATTCTAATTCACTGTTAGGATTGTTATCTGCATGTTAGCCTACACATAGTCTGTTTCATCTGATATTAGAGAAAAACATAAAGATGGTGTGGCCTCTTAGGGGTACAAGAAATAACTTCTGGATCACTCCTGTTTACTGGCTTTGGTTCTTTAAACAACTCTGAAGCTTTTTGCCTGCTGATGTCGAATTACAAATGCCAAAGCTGCTGTGTCAGTTCGCTGCAGATTTGGCAACCTCAAAACTCACAAAGTATAGGAAAGGCAGCTTTATTTATATAGCACATTTCATACACTGCAAAAACATTAAAACCAAAGTCACAACATAAAACAGCAGATTTTAAAGTCAGAATTAAAATACAAAAATTAGTTGTAAGAATAAGGTAAAAATGCAAAGTTGCAAAGTTAAAGACTGAGTAGTTACAGTGCAGAAGGTGCGGTATAAGTAGAGTCATTCAAAGTCTGATGAAAACGTGAATGTTTTCCATTTTGATTTTAAAGTTACTGGAATTGGAGCACATTTAATGCCATGAGGAAGCTGATTCCATCTGTGTGCAGGATAGTAGCTAAAAGCAGCTTCAACCTGTTCGGTTCCGACCCGAGGATGCAAAGTGATCCAACAAGTATTTTGGTCCCATGCTATTGAGTGATTTATAAACTAGTAGAAGTACTTTGAAATCAATTCTGTAGTTTACTGGTGACCAGTGTAGAGATTTAAGAACAGGAGTGATGTGCTCGGTTCTCTTGGTTCTTGTTAAAGCCCTAGCAGCAGCATTCTGAATAAGCTGCAGTTGCTTCACAGCCAAGATTTTTCAACAACTGGACATCATTTTGTTCTATTTGAACGTGTTGATGGATATTTCCAGAGATTAACGGTAAAAACTACGCATTGTGTCTTTAAAAGGTAAATGTACTCTTTGGCCCCTGGTGGTCTGCACAACAATCTGGTCTAGTTTTTACAAAGTGGTAATCACCATTACATCACCCACTGTTTTGTGAAAACACTTTTAATCCCTGAGTGGAGAAGTGTCGAGCTGTGAAGTGAAACTCAAAATGTTCCCGGACTAAAGCACCAGTGAGAATATTGATTGATGCAACTGTAAGAAGTAATTAGTACACAGTGTCTCGGACCAGGGCTCAGCTGGTCTCGAGGCTTTTCTAATCAGCTTCTGATGTAAACCTCTGTCATCTCTGTTAGCTGTGATTAATCAGAGTTGATGTCAGAGATTTAATGTGAGGGAGTACATCATTTTATTCGGTTAACGACCATTTCGCCCAGTAGCCATTAATAATTTAATAAATCAGCTTGTTCACTCTTAGGCCTAGTCCACACGTAGCCGGGTTTAAATAAACGAATATCCGCCCATCCAAAAACTTGCATCCACATCACCTCGTTTAAAAAAAACTCTGTCCACACGTACCCGGATAAATACGTTGTTAAGGACATGCCAGACCTGTAGGCGGCAGTACTTCCCCCGTTCTTAACCTCGTCCTTCGTCTGTGGTCTTCCGCAAGGAGCAGTAATTCCGCTTGCAAAAACAAACAAGCAAAAAGCGCTTGGACAGTTGATAAAGCGAGCGCAGCTCTGAGGGCATCCATGATGTTGGCTAGTGTAAACACAGGTCGCACACGTGATGTCAGCATTTTTTGTCATGGAAAATGACAAAACTCCGGTTTTGTCTGTCCACACGCAGACACCCAAAACAGAGAAAACGCAGATCTTCACTTTGGCCGGAGTTTTTAAAAAGATCAGTTTTCCTGTAAAAAAAACTCCGTTTTCGTGTGGATGACAGGCCAACACGTAGAAATATATCTACGTTTTGGCAGATCCCCGGCTACGTGTGGACAGGGCCTTAGTTGCTACGTTGAGACGTTACTTACTAGACGACACTGATTAGTAGATTAATAAATAGATAAAGTCCCATCACCTCTTGGCTCCTTCATAGACCAAAAATGTTTTAGAGACTAATTTTTTTGCAGTGCTTGTCAAGCAACACCTTGCAGAAGTTTTGCATCATTTCGGTCTTTTTGATGCCCTTTTGCGATTATGCAGTCTTTACAAGTACAGCCAAATTAACAACAGTGTGCTTTCACATTCCCAGAAACAATCCCCCAAAAACCCAGAGTATTCATTTAATTCATGTCAATTCTCTTTATTGTTATTGTAGTTTGTACAAAAAATTTAAGCTGAGTCAGGGGACTCCAAAGCGCTTTACACTATAGTCAGTGTAATTGTTCAAAGCCATTCACACACTGATGGTGATGAGCTACAATGTAGCTACAGCTGCACTGGGGCAATCTAACCAAAGTGAGGCAGGTGCCACTTGCCCCTCAGACAACCTTCAGCAGGTTTTGCCCAAGGACGCATCAACTGACACTAACGAGGCCTGGGTTCGAACCGACAGCCCACTTATTACAGGGCAGACTCCTATCCCCTAAGCTACCATCACCTTCTGAACAGTTATTGCACTAAAAACTGAAAGATTCATGTCAGGGAAAATTTAAGGCACGGCTCCTTCAAAAAGAGTCAAAGCATGACTCTCAAGCACCGACCGATTCCATCCGTCGTATCTGCTGCTGGGTAAAATTTAACGTTTTGTTACACAATCCTTTGCGCATCACATTTGGCTTCGCTTTGACACTTCACAAAGCAGATAAAGCAGCTGACAGGCAAATTCAGAAGTGGGTCATGATGTCAAGAGTGCAGCACATTACGGTAACTCGAACTGCCTTAAATTATTGCCTCCATTGTCCCATCTGCTTCTCATTCCTCCTGATGGATTCCTGAGTTTCTGCTATCTTTGATAAGATGGGGCGTAATGATGCGTCGCTGGCAAAGCACACCAGGAAAAATCACTTAAGCATCTATTATTGTTCTTTCCATTTTTTATCAGATTGATCCATCCTATCACTGTTGTTTTTTCCTCTAATTATCGAATTAGGGATCATTCCATCACCAGGTTTGTTTAATGATCCACAACTGCACACAGATGTGGGGACTCTTTTCTTTATGGTCCTCACAGATGTTGGAATAATGGGTGTTACTGATGGAATCACTGTTTGGTAAGTGATACAGAGGTTAAACCGTCACTTTCCTCTCCAAATTTCTACTAATAAGATGCAAACCACTAAGACACATATGTTCTAGGATATTTCATGGGCCCGTCGGTGCTGATAAAAGCAGCTTTCCCTTGCTCTGTATCCCTTTCATCTTGATGAGGGCAGAACAATGGCTTTTATTTCTAATTCCGCATAGAAACTTCCTGTTTTTTAGGATAAGGAATGATGAAAGTACAAAGTGAAAGCGGTTCCTACTGGAATCTCTAAACGTCAGCCAAGAAGAGAGTTCAGGAAAACATCACAATGGGGTAATTTAGGCTTTTTGCATGATGTATAGCAAATTTATTCAGTTATAATTTGCACAATTATACTGCTTCAGTTGAGCAGATAATGCACTGAGTTTCAGTTCATTCAGGTCTAACGGGAAGTCAAGTTTAAGTCATGTTGGAAATATGTTTTTTTTTAAGGGGGACATTTAAAATTTTCACAGACACAGTGGTTTGAGTTTGTAAAATTAAACTCATAATTTAATGGTATTACGTCCCCGGCTCTCTAGGAGTGATGTGGAAGAGGGAGTAATAAAAGAGGTGTGCGGGTGAAATAATAAAGTGCTGTGTCACTAAAACAGAAGATTTTATTACAAAAGGGTATATTTACAACAACAACAATATATATATATATATATACATATATATGTAAAGCTACAGGGACTATATACAAAGGGGAGAACAGAAAACGCCAACAAGTACAAATAAGAAGAGCAGTCCTGATAAGCAGGAAAGCCCAGGGAGATCCAAAGTCAAGGTCATAAACGTTCTGAAGTCAAGTTACCAAACCATCTAATCCTAAATCCAAATTCAAATCCAAATAAGTCAAACACCAAAGACGAACGAGAGCAATACTAAGTTTACCAGCCAAGCACACGAGGAGAAGAGAATAGTATAAACTCCTTTGAGTCTACACTACCCTGAACCTTCTCACTGACTGAGGGCAGGAGAGCAGCTTTTAACAGCTGTCCAGTGATTAGTGATTACGAACAGCTGGGCACCGGGAGACTGGCGAGGCAGAAGCCACGGAGGCCATCTTGTGGCCGAAAAGGGGCAAGGCACGTAACAAATGAATCAACCATTTTTAGGTCAGTTTCAGGTCTGGGAAAGAACTGAGCAAATGTTTTATTCACCTGCTTGAGAGACTGAAATCTTGTGAAAAATTTAAAAATGTTCAAATGGATTTTTATTCAAAATAATCTGTTGGTTGTTTCGCCGCTGCCTGTATATGTAATGGACGGACCCTCCTCGCCGTCAGCTGTAGATCTCTGAAGAGCTAAAACGATGCGTCACACGTCTCGTCACTCCCGGAAAAAAACAAAAATGCAGCTGAGGGCTGTGAGGGTGGAAGCAGATGATTGACACCCATCAAACTGTGAGGCGATGAAGCTACAAGCAAACTGAGCTAATCAAAGCTAACGGAGGTTTAGCAACTCTGCAAGCCTCTGACTTCTAGGCTGTAACACTTTTAACCTGAGGCCGATGCTGAGGCCCCCCCCCCCCCCCCCCCCCAATTATTCATCATTTTAAGCTTTACTTACATCTAAACGGATGAGTTTTTTTTAAATAACTCTCTTCAGAGATGTCAGGACGGTAAACTTGAACTAATACACCTAAAATGTTTTTAAAATCAGGCTGTAAACATGTTTATTTCTGCTGTGAAGTTGGCATTTTTAACATGGGAGTCAATGGGATCCAGCCCTAGTGGATGAGGGGGTAACTGCACACTTCTGTGTTGGCTTCACTTTTGGCAGGCGGAAGTTTCCCCTTGAGTTACACACAAAAAAGACTCCTTTGTTTCAACAGTTTGATAGAAATGTTCATTAATCAGAGGAAGATAGTGAAGATACAGTGCTTACCAGCTCAGTTATAAAATGGAAGGCTACTCCCACATGACTTTTTTTTCTCTCATCAACTAAAAACCTGCCTGCTGATCTTGCGTGCTACAACGTCATTACCTGTTTTTGTAGGTCTTCTAACTTTCGGCACACAGGTGTCTTGAAACCCGAAAAAACATCTCGAATCAGGCTCCTACAAGTTTCTGTGTAACCTTCCCTTGAGCCCATGGGCTTAATGACCTCAGCTCTCAAACACGTTTCTGCCAACAACAGGGCTACTTTAATTTAATGACTATCCAAAACCCATCTAAGCATACAGAGAAGAATATTTATTATTATTATTATTATTATTATTACTATTATTACTGTTTAGGTGATTTTTGTCTGTAAATGCTTTTATCTGAAGCCACTTTTAACCCTGAATATTCCCGTTAAATTACATTTGTGAGAAAATCTTGTGTCAGCAGGTGAGAGCCCCATTTATTAAGTGTTTCACTTCGCTGCTCAGGTTTGACCCCAGAGTGTGCAGACATTACTGAAATTGTTTTGCCGCCTGTGTCTGTCATATCCTTGTGGGACATAACACATTCAGCCTGGATAATTGGGTTGTGTTTCACAGGACTACGCCGTTTCTACTGTGCCTGTGATGGCAGGGCTGCACCTGAAGAGCTTCTGCAGCATGGGAGGACCGGGACTCATTATCATCGGCTCCAGTGAACCAGCTCAGAAGGCCCTCAAAGTAGGGAGCTTGTGCATGCTTAGTGTTTATGATGCATTTAAATTGTGAATTTCCCCTCCTGAGGTGCAGTCATGGAAACCCAAGTTGTTGTTTTGCTGTCTTTGTCGATTTGCAAAGGATTCAACAAGAGTAACACTACAAGGCAGGGCAGCATTTATTTAGAGCAAGTTCCTGAACTGACAGCTTCTAACTGTAAAAACATTCATCTTTATTTAGGGGAAGTTTTAGCATTTTGGAATGTGTACAGCAAATTTAATTATTAATTTACCTACAAAGGACTGAAGAAGAAACAATATTTTTATGTAGCGTCTCTCAAGATAAAAATCATAAGGCTCTTCACAAGAACAAAAAGAAAAATTAAAACAATTATTAAAAATATCCTAATAAGAAATTGAAGGAAAAACATTAAGACTGAAAATGTGATAAAAGATTAAAAAAAAAAGGTAATCAGGGGATCCGTAAATTCTAGAATTGACAGAAACACCAGCTTGAAAACAAGCTAGTGAGGAAGAAGAGGATGAACAGGAGGTGACACCAAAGCCAGCCTGAACAGGTGAGTCTTCAGCTGCTTTTTGAAGGAGACCACTGAGTCCACTGATCTCAGGCTCAGGGGGAGAGAGTTCCAGAGTCTGGGGGTGCCAGCAGCAGGTGACCTCTCAGTAATAGTGAAAATGTTTATAAAGCTAACATTTTGGATTTTGAAGGAAACTTAAAGCTGCTGTAAGGAACAAGCCAAGTTTCGAACACTAAAACGGTCACAGAACATTCACCCCTCCCCACGGGTATCTTCCCTGGATCCGTGTCCACTGGAACCAAAAAGCCACATTGCGCTAAACATCAGTCTCCGTTTTCTAGGTCCAAATGCCTTGTGTTGTCCTTGACCTCAAATTATGTTGTATTTTTTGGGGGGACTTTGGTAGTTTGTCCTAAAGTTGAAGTGGTAGCAGCCGGCCGTTTCTCCTAATATGTTGTTGTTTCCAAATTTGCTATAATAGCTTTAAGACAACAAAAATGTTTTTAGCTGCATCAAACTAGCAGGAAGGAAGGCATTTACTGCAGGTGAGATTATATATATATAACGCTCCAGGCTGTCTAGGGGGCCTGGGGTAACGAGGACACATGCTCGGGTGTTTAAAAGTTAACAAAAAAAAAATTATTTAAACCAAGGAAACTTAACACAACTGGACTAATCAGTGGCAACTAAACAGTAAAACAAAAATCTACTTAGCCAATATAACTACAAATCAGGGAATCCCCTGCACACACAAGAACATTAATGTTCATATCAGGGAAACCCCTGCACATAAAAGACACAAATTGGCTAAAACAGACTAAAACAAAAGCACGCCGAGGAACCAACAGGACAGAGACCACATGTCCAGCCTGTTGCTCCCTGATGATGATGAGGGCTGGGTGGCTTTTATGCAGTGAGTCCTCATTCAACTGCTGATTGTCATTGCCACCAGCTGGGGCTTCCGGGTGGGGCCGGACAGGTGTGGGAGAAGCCAGGTGCTGCAAAACAGCTCCTCTCACACAAGAGGGATAAAACACAGGAGTAGAAATGAAATAAAGACATAAATGGCACCAGCCATAACTCTCTCTCTCTCTCTCTATATATATATATATATATATATATATATTTATATATATATATATATATATATATATATATATATATATATATATATAATTTACACAGAAACACTCTAAAATAGTAAAAGTATTCCTTCAGTACAGCCTAATTAATTTCCATTCCCTGTTAATTTGCAGCGGCTGTCTTTGGCACTGGAACTCCGCCTTTAATTAAACAGCCGTGAGCTCATTACCACATGAAAGAAGTCTGGATGGAATTCCACAAGATGTTGGGCTTAAGGACAAGAGCCAGCTCATGGCCTGTCACAGGCAGATTGCTAGTTTACACCAGGAGAGTCCTAAATCTCAGAACATCCCGCTCCTGTTTGTATCCCTTAAATCCCCCAACATCTGCAAACAAAGCTTTTTGAACACATGGGTGCATTTTTACTGGAGTTTGCATTTGCACACACACACACACACACACACACACACACACACACACACACACCCCTCAGGCCTTGACTCATCCACTGTGACAGGTCTTCTCCACCCTTGCCTCCTAATGTCATATCGCCCCCTACTGGCAGAGTAATAATATGTGTCATTATAAAGCAAATTATGACGAACACTGTCTTGTTTTGTCTCCAAACGACATAATCAGGCAGCACATCCTGCTCAGGCTAAAAGGCGTTGATAAAAATGTTTACACATGAACAGAATAATCCATGAATTTGCACATAAGCTAATTACGCTTAAATCACAGCGATTCTGGCCTGTTTGATCACCCCAGTAATTGGTTACTGGAGTGGCCTCTAGCGATACTTAATGACAGAGCTCTTGCTTTCTAATTACAGCTTACGTCACCCTCTCTTGTAGCCATTAGCTTCTGTTTTATAAGCATTTTAACAGCCCCGTGTTTGTAATAATATTCTCTGTGCAAAGAGAGTAAGGTATTATGAATGCAGCTTTAATGAAGCCAGACTGCTTGTTTAAGATGCTGTTGTTATGACAGTGAGGCTCCTTGTCTGTGCATCCATGGTACAAGCACAAACTATGGGCTGAGCTTAATGAATTGTTCCTATCAGTATGGAGGTACATTTATCTTTTATTTTATCTTAGGTTTATATCGGGACAGCAGTATCTCAACAGGTTGAGCGGGCTGTCCAGTAATCGGAAGGTTGCAGGTTCGATCCCGATTCCGGACAGAGAATTCTGCCTTTGTGTCCTTGGGCAAGACACTAAACCCACCTTGTCTACTGGTGGTGGTCGGAGGGACCGGTGGCGCCTGTGCTCAGCAGCCTTGCCTCTGTCAGTGTGCCCCAGGGCAGCTGTGGCTACATTGTAGCTCATCACCATCAGTGTGTGAATGTGTGTGTGTGAATGGATGAATCATACACTGTAGTGTAAAGCGCTTTGGAGTCCTTACTCTGAGAGGCGCTATACAAGTGCGGGTAATTTATCATTTATATGTGATAAAGACTGTTTTGTGTGACTTGTTATAGTCTGTACATATAAAGGCTAAGACGTTTGTATCTGAGTTCAGCTCCGCTGGGAATGGCTGAGTAGATTTTGTCATGCATCTGCAGCTGTCAATGCCAAGCTTCACACATCATGTCATTATCCCAAAATACAGCCCCTGTCATATGGTGCAGAGCCAGGGTCTTGTCCTCACACACACACACACACACACACACACACACACACACACACACACACACACACACACACACACACACACACACACACACACACACACACACACACACACACACCGCACCCTGCAGCAGACCACTGGGCAGATTTGACATCATCAGTCAGCCCTGCTTGACTCGTGAGGTAATTATTTTCTGCTGTTCAGGGTTAGATTTCCATTTCAACCATGCTGACATGATTTAGTTTCTTTGACGGTGAGGTGACAATGCAGTGAAAGTTGGTTGGCGGAAGGTGTTGAATTTTAAATGCATTTACACACACAAGTTTTTATTGCTTAACCCTCCCACTGTCCTAATGGGCGTGACCCCGTGAGGAAAGTTGACCATTGAGCAGGGTTGATGGTTTATCCCTTGGGTCCATGTGGCAGGGGTGAGGAGTGAGCACCACCTCATCCCTGCCACAAGGACCTCAAGGGATAAACCATCAATCCTGCTCAATGGCCAACTTTCCTCGCGGGGTCACCCATAAAGACAGTGGGAGGGTTAAAACAATGGTAAAAAAAAAAATGCTAAGCTGCCTGCCACTGAATTGTCAGCTTTACTGATATTCAATTAAATGTTGGTGTCCCAGTAGCCAATAGGGATGTGCATTGGTGAAATTCTGGTGATACGATCCACATCACGATACAGGGGAGACGATACAATGTATCACGATATACTGCGATACATTCAGTCAGATGCGATTTTTTTTTTTTACTGAATGTATTGTAGGAATACTCAATAAACAGTCCAAATTGATACTTAAACATGTTTGACATGAGGTACAGTGCATCCGGAAAGTATTCATAGCGCTTCACTTATTCCACTTTTTTGTTTATGTTACAGCCAGGGGCGCCGATAAGATTTTTAAACCTGGGAGGACAAAGTACCAATGTACCCTCCCCCAAACACATACACACACACACACACACACACACGCACACATGCACAAACTATTGCAAGCACCTAAACTAGAGCTAAGTCAGTTTGTGTAATTTCATCCAATGGTTTACGTAAAAACTAACACTTTTATATACGTGTTTGAAGCCATTGGGCAGTGGAACGCTGGCAGCAAAGCTCTGTCTGATCAACACTATTCAAATCAGTCATTTGTTCTTCTCCCAGTCGATTACTAACCAAAGCCTCATGCTTTATGCAAAACATGAAATGATTTTCAGCACACCAATCTTTACAGAAAACATAAAAGCCCTAAAAACTGCACATAAAATATATTTAAAAAATGATATTGACTTATCACTTAGCTGTGGTTCCCAAACCTTTCAGCCTGACCAACAGATGTTCCTTCGTATTTTTACGTTATTTAGAAATTTTCATTATATTTGAAAAGTTTTATTTATATATAAATATATAAAGCTGTTATAAAATTTTATATTTAACTTTTTTTATGATTATGTGGCACACTTTGACTTCCATATAGAACACATCGGCATCTGCCTCTTTTTTACGGCTTTTTTTTTTACAATGTTGCTACGTCTGTCACGTTAGCAGTGTTTTTACCATCATTTCCACATCCATCACGCCCCAGCGAAGGTTAAGCCAACATCAAACCCAACGTTTGGTTCTTGTAAACTCCACACACCTCTCGTGCAGCACCAGCTGTCTGATGCTGCAGCAGCGTCAATCTTCCCAGCTGGATGAGTGAATTTCTTCATCAGAGTCAATAGTCTGCTTCATAATCAGAGTCAGTCATTACCAGACAAAGTGATCAGTCAGCAAAGACCAGACCTGCCGGCAATTATACGTTTTATCTAATATTTGCGCTCTTCATGTTGCGCACATCTCCTCCTCTCTCCGACTGGGTGCCTCTCGGCGGGAGGCGCTTTTCAAACTCTAAAAACTCCCAAACTTTGCTCAGCCTGAAGGTTACACATCTCCACTATCTTCTGATGTAAAGTAGTAACTTCATGAGGAATCGTATTTGTAGCTGAGACTCGTTAAAGTCAGCAATGAGGCTTTGGCGCTTATAACGAGTAAGTCCCAACACTGACAACAATGTACCAACATGCATAAACAAAAAGATCGTTCCCGCCTCCTTAGGCCTACATTATTGGTCTTTTTTAAATACGCAGTAATCGTTGTTTGCCTTTTCCGCTTCATCCTGCATCCTAGCAGCAACCACTTTGGCGCCTCTGGAGTCGGTGTTTGTTTACGTCATGCTGCATTCAATGTAATTGGAAAAAGGAGCTTCAAGCACCTAACCTTGAATTTTGTTTTCTTCCTGGCCTTAGTGCAGGGACAGATCCCCCCGCCCCCCACCCTATCTGCGCACCTGGTTACAGCCTCGTTCCAAAATGGATTAAATTCATTTTGCCCATAAAATTCAACACACAACACCTCATAATGATAATATGAAAAGAAAGTGTCTTTGAAGTTGTTGCAAATTTATTAAAAATAAAAAACTTGAGAATATATATATATATATATATTTCTCTCTCTCTCTCTCTCTCTCTCTCTCTCCCATATATATATATATACATCTAATGATTTGAGTGTCCTAATGTCCTTTTGAGCAGACCAGAGCACTCTCAACCCACCATACATGGAAAAAATATTGGATAAAATCATTTTTAGAGCCATTATGATTGAGATTGTCCAAAGGGGAGAATCAAGTCAAAAATGGGTAAAGTCATCTTTTTGTGTGAAAAGGGTTCATGTGCATTGAGCTCTGCTCCTTACATAAGGTCTCCATTTAAAAGTGTGCCTTTAACCTGTCGGTCTGTTGGATAGATTTTAATGAAACTTTCAGAAATTAATTGTTGGTTACATTTACAAGGGATTAATCGGTCTGTTGGATAGAGTTTAATGAAACTTTCAGAAATTAATTGTTGGTTACATTTACAAGGGATTAACCTTTGACATCATTCCATACACAGTTTAGTCAATTTTAACAAATAAAACTAGGCAAAAAATTAAAAACAAAGCAGAAATCAGAAGTTTTCTGTATCTACTGCACCATCTAGAGGCTGACAAATGCATCGCACCTTAAGCCTCTGTCACCTTTTCTGAGTTTACGGTTGAAAGCAACACCTCTCGTTCATGAACGCACGTTTCTCATTTCGATTATTAGTGTCACGTTAAGCTGTTCAAATGTCATCATCACTGTGCAGCGCCACACACACTCGTTGAAACAGGAAGTTGACGAATGCTCACTGTTTGTTTTTATATCGCAAACAAACATGTTTAGTTTCACATGCGCTGCACATGATGAGGCATTTTTGAGACTGTATTCCTTCCATATTACACTTACTCGTTAAGGACACCGAAGAACAATGATCTTATATTCAAGATTTGACCATAACATCTAAAATTGAATTCCATCCATCCTCTGTTCCCACTTATCCACGTAGGGTCGTGGGGGGCTGGTGCCCATCTCAAGCTGTCGTCGGGCAAACAGGCGGGGTACACCCTGGACAGGTTTCCAGTCCATCACAGGGCAACATAGAGACACACAAGACAAACAACCATGCACATACACTCACACCTAAAGACAATTTAGACAGACCAGTCAATCTGACAGTCATGTCCTTGGACTCTGGGAGGGAGCCGGAGTACCTGGAAAGAACCCATGCATGCACAGGGAGAACATGGGAAAGCAGAAAGAGCCCAGGACCTTCTTGCTGCAAGGCAACAGTGCTAACCACTGTGCCACCGTGCAGCCCAGTAAAATTTTATTTCCCAACATAATTTAAAATGATGTCTAAAATCTTTTAACATAACATCAGCTGGAAATATGCATTTATTCAAAACATTGTAGAATTTTAATTAGATTTATTTTAGAGATTTCTTTCATCTACAAAGTAGGCGGTCTCATCAAAAATCCTGTTAGAGATGAGATTCTTTTCCAGCTGAGATGGGGTGAGAGGTGGTGGTCATACCGGGTCAGTGAGCAGTCCATCACAGAGCTAACAGAGCGCCTCATTCACCTCACGCTGATCTGCTTTTCCTTCTTAATTGACGGACTTAGAAGGAAGCAAATGGTAGTCAAACTTCTTGTTTGTAACCACAGCATTTATATTTAAGGCTCTGTAAAAAAAACCTTGTTTATGAAAACATGTACTGTTCAGTGGACTTCAACAGGAAGCAATCCCTGACTCGCCTCTTAGTAACAGCTTTAAGTGAGATTGAGCTTGTTTGTGTTGCTGGTTTTTTAGTAAAAGGAGAGTTATAAAACCTTTAAGTCTTCAAAGGAGAGTCAAAGTTCAGGTCATGTTGATTATTGCGGCAGAAGGCATCAGGTCCAGTAAATGTCTTAAACATGCCCCTGCACAGAGTGCATTTTATTGCTTTCCAGTAAATATTTAGCTTCACTAGCTCCAACTGGGCCCATTTAGCTATTCAGTTACCTCTCTGTGTATTAGCTGGACCTCAGCCACTGTCCAGAAGGTCACCGTTGATTTGCTGTTTTTTTTCTCTTGGTTCACAGTCAAGACAGCTATGGAGACAGCTTAAAGACCCAATTCACCGAGAAACTGTTTTTTACTTTAAATTTTTGAAACATGACCAGTCACTCTGACTTTAACATACAGTCTAAATGTGAAAATGGTCTTCTATACATATTTCCTGCGTTAGCTGCAGATGAAAATAGACGGGGAACTGCTCGGATCAGAAAAGCCAGTCAGATCTACTTCACATTGTTAAATAAGAAGAAGAAGAAAAAAAAAGTATCATTTCTATAGCGCCTCTCAAGATAAAAATCACGAGGCGCTTCGAATAAGCATTCATGGACTCGCATATTTTGGCTCGTGATGGGGAAGGCTGTTGTTGATTTAGCGTTCAGGAGAGGGTGGAGCACTTATCGGTTAGCACACGCTAACCATTAGCATTAGCAACTCCACAACATAGAGGAACTCCTTCAGGCTTGTGTTATTTGTGGAGATAAAACATCAGCGTTGCAAAGCAAACAGTCAGTGATAGAGTTGCGTTACTGTTAGCCAATCAGAGGTGAAAGGCCAATCAGTCAAAATTTTGGGAAACAAGACTGAAAAACCTGCTGTCTTCAGCGCACTTCTACTGTAGCTCACTTCTGGTTCCTGAAACGGGAGTGCCAGGGGGTGGGGTTACTTGAATAAAAGAGTTCCCAGACCCATTGCTTCCCATAAGGAGGCATGGGGCTGGCTGGTCAGGCTAATTTTTCACAGGAAAGTCCTCCACAAATGTTCATGGTGGCTTTGCACATGGGCATCTGCCAGCAACTTGTTTTTATTAGCACAAGAAGTTTGATTTGACGTAAAATAGTGATGCTAAAAAAATTTTTTTGTAGGAATTTGTTTCAGCAACTGACTTTTACTTCTCTGGGAAGAGCTGAAAGCCTTAAGGAGAAGTGAAAGGTACTGATTTCTCACCCTGTAAGCCCATTGTGTTTAAATTCATCAACATTTTTAATGGAAAATTGAATCCAAAATACAAGAAAATCTTCAGTTATCTTGCTGAAAACACCAAACAAAAGAGTAAAAAATCTTGGTGTAAATCTCATGACTCAAAATACCTCATCTAAATAATCTATTACTTCTTATTTATTTACTTTTTAAACACAGAGCAGTAAAAATGAGTTACAAACGGAAGTGGCGCCACCAACACCGGCGAGCCGAAACATGTCAGCTTCAAGGTAAATTGTTAATCTTTACTGCGCTGACAAAGAACAAAGTAATGGATTATGAAATGACACACAGAACGAATGTACTGAAGACCTCATCTAAATGTTGACAGTTTCTTGGTGCACTGATCTGCTCATAAACATTAAGAGACACCTGCCTCACTCCCTTCCGGTCGTGACATCCTCAACACTCGACATCCACTCAGCACCACAGGCGCCTTTCCGCCCCCCTCCTACACCCGACGCCCTCGCCCCACCTTCAGCTCCTTCAGATTACATAAAAAACATGGCATCTGCTGAGAAGGAATGTCTGTCTGCTTCTGTGATCTCCATTAAGACCCCCCCCCCCCCCCCCCCCCCTCCCCCCAGGCAGCCACAGTGGTTTGGCGAGTAAAAGGATGCTGCTTTTTGGGTTCTGCTTCTGAGTCAGGGAATCTGCTTTGCCTTCCCGAACATCAGCGTGTGTGTTTTCTGTCTCTGATGGTGCAGATCATGCAGCAGATGAGCGACTACCGCTACGACAAACTGACGGTGCCTGATGATCTCGCTGCTAACTGCATCTACATGAACCTGCCCAACAAGGGACACGTGCTTCTGCACTGCACGGAAAAGGAGTTTCCAGAGAGCGTGAAGGTATCATCCAGCCTAAATCCCACACTTTACTCTCACTCAAGCACATAATTACAATGTCATCAAATATCTCTGAACTCACACCTGTGGAAGAATAAACCCAAGACAGCCACACTGGTTTGGTGGATCTGGTTTGAAGACTACTTTCACTTCGTTCTGTCCAGACCTCTGAGAAAAACTACTGTCAGCAGATTAGCCCCTTAGCTACAGGGTTACTTTACACTAACCACAGACGGCAAAAACAAAAGAAACTTTATTTTTCTGGAAGGTTACAGCAATGGTGTGGAAGACTCCTTCATTGAAGACCGTTCAGAGAGGAAAGGATAATAAAGGATTGTTTGACTTTTATTCAGACATATTGTGAGAATGTTGTTTTCTCTTTCTGTTCAGCGTCATAAAACTTCAATAACTTATACTTAGGCCCAACAAGCCTTTGACCCATGTTTGATAGCTCCTTGACATAAATGGCGTGTTATTGTCTCCGTTTGTCTGCTGGGTTTGGACGAACTGAGCAGTAGCTGTTATTTCGATGCATTGGGGAGAATCCAAAACAAAAAGCCATGGCGTTCTCACCAGATTGAACCTGGCAGCATGCAGACTGCATGGATGGTGCTCAGACCTCAAAATGTACTCTGTGGTTGAAGCCCCAATCCCTGCCAGCTATTTTTAGAAGGAAGAATTCACAAAATGATGTGTTTTTGGACCTAAACCCACAAAGACGTCTCAGGTTCTTTTTTTTTTTTTTTCATTTCCAGAAATAATAACTCAGGGAAATTAACTTGAGCATGATAAAATCTATTTGGCTGCCTGCTTTTGGAGCACCTTTTAACAGAACATTTTTGTGATTATATGTTTATTCTATAAATTACTTTAGCGTATGTAGCTCCAACACGCTTAAAATGATCCTGACACAGACGTTTTGGCCCCAACCTGCACCTAAGGAACTGCAAATTAAAGTGGAAAAATAATAATAAGACCCGGCGTGCCGTGAAACAGCAGGGATCGTACTGCAGGTCTGGAGTTGGTTCATGTTTCCCAGGGGGACATTCTTGCTCCTTCTTCGTGTGAGATGTAGAGATTTGTGAGAATAATCACCCAGACGCTCTGCAAGACATCTACTCCTCTTTAACTCCGAGCACTGTCTCTCCCAACCTCCGGTCTATTTTTAGTCCCGTTACATAAGTGTTACACGCTAACAAAGGGAGGGGGTCGTGAGAGAGGACTGGTGGGGTCGGGCGGGGTGGAGGCGGGGCACGGCGACAGCTGTGGAGGCTTCGGTTTGGAGGTAAAAACCTGAGCAGACTGAAAGGTCCAGTAAAATACCACAGCATTTACGGCGTGGGATCGTGTCAGCCTGACCCAACGCATAAATCTCATTCACACTAACGAGAGCTGGGCTTGAAATGACCAAAAACAAAGAAGTCTTTGGATTAAGAAGTGCTGGGATTTACGGATGTTGTGTTTGGAGAATTCTGACTTGCCCTTCTGATTCAAAAACCTAAACAGTCATTTTTCCTGTAGTTTTCAGACAATAAATTTATTTAATAACCCTTAATTTTTCTAATCCTATAGTAGGTTTTTACTCTCTGACTCATAGTTGTTGCACACAGAAAAACTGAGGTCACAAGACACGAGAGAAAACAAAAATAAATCCATTTTCTCTTTAATTTTTGACATAAAAATTAAATAAAAATGACATGTGCAATTAGGAGAACCATCTGTTTCTTTCTGTTCAATCCCAAAGCCCTGGAAAGTACTGAGAGATGGAAAGTTCCTTTTGCAAATCTCAGATTGCTTCTGTAGCGGCCAGAAAATTACTTTTAATATTTTGTATGTCATCTTTTTGACAACGTTTTACCTCTGGCACGACTGCACACGGCTGGCTTACAAGCAGACAGTTCAAAACATGCAGGTTTCCACTGCAGGGCTACTCTACCACTATTGGAGATGCAACCTGAGTAAGAACTCTGTGGAAACATACATTGAATGTGTTAAAAAAAGTCGGACAGCTTGTAGCATGTCAGTCTGTGCCGTCTCCAGCCTGCTTCCCTGGTAAAATCAATAATGTAATGGCCACTGAAAAACAGTTTGTTCTGAGAAAAGCTGCTATAAGTCATAAGTATGCATACTTTTAAATTAGCATACCCCAATCCCCTTCAACATAGGCAATTTACACTGCCCAGCCAACAAAATAAAAGTCTTCACCTGGCTTTAACTAAGCAAACTGGTACGAGCCTCCTATTGGATAATGGCTGCATGGGTGATTATCTTTCAGGTGGCAACAAGTTATTTAACCAACTGGTGCAATGAGTTGCTTCTGTTTTCATAAATAACCATATGGAACGACACATCTGATGGTCGTGGAAAAGATGTTAGTCTCTATCTGTCTGTATGCATCAAGCAGAGAACACAGCTAAGGAGGTTGCAGAAACTACTCAAACTGGCTTAAGAACTGTCCAACTCATTCCATGCTGTAGTTGTTTTTTAAAACACAGAGCAGTTTTTGTTTACCTGTTTTCCCGCTACGTTTCGTTTGCGGCTGCAAACATCGTCAGGCTGACGCTGATGGCGGCGTCACTTCCTTCTCCGTTTATCCGCGGGCAGCAGAGGACGTTTTCGCCCTCTGCTGCCCGTTCTGCCCTCTCCGACGATGCAGTCCCATGCGCGGTCCAACGTGTAAACTCCATCGTCCCTGTTCATGGTCCCACATCCACGTCTCCTTATCTCGATTGCTTCCTTTATTCATCTTTTGTATTTTTGTTGTTCGGTGTTTATGATCCTTGTGTTGTCCCAGTCCATTATATGGTTTTCTCTTGTGAAGTGATCTGTTACGGCTGACTTCTTTATTGTACTTTCTGCTTCTTCTTTTGCTGCTCTTGTGTGTTTTCGACTTGCCTCTTTCTCGCACTCCTTTCTGTGTTCTATTGTTCGTGTGTTGAGTTGGCGTCCGGTTTCTCCTACGTATGTTTAATTGCAGAGTTTGCATGGGATTTCGTAAATGACTCCACATTTATGTCCAGCTGGTATCTTATCTTTTGGGTGTACTAGTCTGTTTCTAACTGTTGTGTATGGTTTTGTTGGTGTGTTTATGTTGTGTTTTTTCATTGTTGCTCTTATTTTTTCTGTTATGCCTTTAATGTATGGTAAGGTAAGGGGAGTACAGGGTTAGCTACTGCTAATGTTTTTGTTGAACAAGAGGAAGCCACCATACCCCCCCCCCCCCCCCCCCCACCCACACACACACACACCTCCAATATGTTACATAGTTTAATTGATTTTAGAAGCAGGAACTGATACTAGACATCTACATCCACACAATTTTTGTTTATCGGTGTTACATCTCCATAATATGTTTATTTGATCCCTGTTGGTATTTTTTAAAGCCTCACTTGCTATCACAGCAGGGTTAAAGAAGGAAAAGTATCCTGGTTTGGAAGAGTGGAAGGAAAAGAGAGGTTTTCTCTTGGAAAATGTCCACGGGGTGACACACTTCTTTACAAGGGTCTTTGGGGAACGTTGTAACGCCTCTCACTCCAAATGTTCTTTTACTCTTTTTTGACTTTTTCTTCTTCTAGGAAATAAAGAAGCATCCAACACTTGTTCTCTTGTCTCATATTTTGTGTCACTCTGCAGAGATTCACACTCATAATAGTTTGAAAGCTAAAGTAAGCAAGTCTGCGTGCTGTAAAAGTAATTTTAATAAAAAAAATTAAAATAGCATATTTCTGTTGCTGGGAATTTGGGGCAAATAAAACAAGAATGAACATGAATAGTGATATTCAACTAAATGCATTTTTTTCTTCTAAAAGGTAACAATCTCTTCTTATTCTCTGACATTTGTGTGACTTACAGATGTTTGAAAAGCTGAAGGACTACATGCTGATTCCTGTGTGCAACTCGGAAAAGGTCAAGGTGGATGGAGCGCTCACATGCTGTTCTGTGCTCATCAACCAAAAGGCAAACATCTGAGCGCGCTTAGCAGCGGCCTGTTGGCATCTGATCTTCTCAGATCTTAAACATAAACAATCATGCACTTACAGAAACAAAATTTCAATGTTGATTTAGGGAAAAGTCTGAAAGAACTGAAGGGAAGCATCGGGCCATTTCTAAAATCTGCTTAAATCACATGAAAACAACTTAAAACTGATTCAGCTCTTTTTATGTGAAATACTAATTGCACTCTCAAATCAGAGAAGTTTTTTTTTTCGAATGTACAATTTGATATTAACATGAAAAAAATCATTCATAAGACAAAACAAGTAATTTGCAGGGATTTTTCAGTCTCTGCTTCTTTTAATGTGAGTTTTATTCCTTTATTCTAACGGTTAAAGTTCATTTTCCAGTGAGAAGGGAAGGAAACAATGTGAATCAAATCCTCTAACTTGCAGAAAATGTTAGTTTGACCAATCAGTGAAAAATCCTCAGAAATAACAAACAGCACTTAGCCAGCTGATCTGTGCCGCTGTACGATCAAATCTACCAGAGAGGTACAGAACAGAGCTCCAAGAGAAGAACAATGTGATTGAATTTAGGTTGCATCCTTTAAATGCACCATTTTAACTGTGACTTGCCTTTTTATGAGGTCTTGTGCCTAAAATGCAAATTAGGCTCATTTTTGAAGTCTGTCTGTAGATGTTGTGGGCTTTAAAAGCTCGCTGGACTGCAGTTAGGTAACCCTCTGCATTCAGAATCACTACTCAGTGGTTTTATCCCGGTCTCATTTAACAATCCTCATGTCAGTCTGAGGCGGGCGACCATGACGACATACAGCCCGACCTGAACATCCCACCTCGCCTGAATCCACCATGCTTCACTCTGTGATTGTTAGTGAAAGCAGAGGAAATGACATCAGGAGGTGACTCAAGCTCCCTCTGCAGACTTTAGCGTATGTGTGCAAGTGAGCAGTGATGAAGCACGGAAAGAATTCCTGTTCAGGAGGAGAAGCTTGTTCGGCTGTAAACACAAACTCTTTTCACTTCTGCCTGTCTCGCTTTCTCCCATCTTCACCTTTTAGCTCATGGACAGGTTTTGGATTATTTCATGGTTTTGGTTTCATACGCTCTGATGAACTGTGGATTTGATCACAGACATTAAGTTTCAGGTTTTCTTCTAATGCTTCAGTTGCTGAGAGGACCAGACTGACTATGTTTAAATACAACTAATAACATTATCTAAATGTTCTTCCCCTCACACGCAGTTAAAAAGTTGTTTGGTAGTTGTTTGGCTCTTGGTTGGCTGAACTGTGATTAGTTGTCCCAACATGCTCTTTGAGGGTGTATACTGTACTACTGTTGCCTTGATTCAGCCTAGTTTATTCTCATTCCATCTCAGGTCTATTATTTTTCATATGAAATGTCAGTAATAATGTATTTGATTGTTTCCAGTTCCATCTATTTTATCAATAAATTAAGATCTAGTATCAGTCTTTGTTGTGTGATTTTATTAGAACTAAAGTTATTTAATTTCACAGCTTCTGAGAAACTATTTCTGCTTTTAAGTCTTACAGATGAAGATTACACAGCTTCAAAGCAGTGGTCAACTATCCGAGGAAAACTCTTTTTTAGCTTGTTGATCTCTGCTGCCACCTAGTGGCAGAAAAGTAAAACAAATTACACATGTTTCTGCACAAATTTCAGGTACACATAAAGTCTCTCTCTCTCTCTCTCTCTCTCTCTCTCTCTCTCTCTCTCTCTCTCTCTCTCTCTCTCTCTCTCTCTCTCTCTCTCTCTCTAAAAAATAAAAACAAATTAATTTGGCTTTAAAAACAAAACAAGTTGCTTTTTTATTTGAGTAAAAAATAAAACAAACCCATAATTTGTGGATAAATGTGACATTTACTAAATGAGATCAAAATACAAGCAGATGTTTATTTATATACAAATCCTGAAACCATTATAAACATAAAAAGGATCAGTTGGTTGTACTTTTAGTCACCAGCCATCATTTTTCTTTTATTCCCTTTTCTAAACTAAAATACAAAATGCAGATATTTGAAATGACCTTTTATTTCAGTGCTATATAAACTGCCGCTCCATGCTCGTTGTTATTAATCTAATGGTAAATGGTCTGTATCTGATACAGTGCCTACTAGAGTCCTGGAACCCCTCAAGGCGCTTTACAACACAATCAGTCATTAACACACACATAATGTTCACGAAGCATCTATTTTACATTGTAGATCTGCTGTATTTATTATTATATCTGAAACAAAATAAAAAGATACAAAAATGTTCCATTCAAACGGAAAACAACCCAGAAGAACACAATAATGCATGCAAGCTCACAAATAGCCTCTGCTGCACAAAGCAGGAACAAAAACACTGTGGGTGTTTCTCAATGACAAGGCGCCTGGCCTTGCGAGGCGATGTCTTGCGAGGCCAGGCGCCTTGCTTACGAGGACACCGTCCTTCCTAGGCCAAAGAAAACGGTTAAATGGAACAGACTTGCATCACGTGACCGCGGCTTCCACGGCGGCCACGTAATGTCACGTGACACGGGAGATAACGCTATATTACATATGTATTAGTTTCAATATAAATATATAATGAGCCTTTTACTTTTTTAATTGTGCATATGTTTATTAAATAAAAAATATAAGTGAGTTACTACCCGCTAGCCACTGAAGCTGCAACTACTAAGCAACTAACCAACAATAGATAACTTATTTGGATCTAAAAAACATTTTAAATTAGCTGACTTACTTTTAAACTTGAAAATTGTCCCTGAAGTAGCTGCCGGCTTCTGATCTGCCGTCTTTTTGAAAATACCGCGTTGTATTCTGGGTAATTTTTGACCAAGCTAGACGACTCCTCCCGTGTATCCTTGCTCAGCTAGCTAAACGGCTAACAAACGGAGAACACACGCCTCGGTAGAGCATGAACATTGGATCACGCCTTGGCGGCTCCTGATGACATATCTCCTAGGCAACCGGGGCGGGCCCAAGACATCAAGGCGAGGTTCCTTGGCACTGAGAAACACGCCGTGACTGAGTTGAAATCTGACAGACTAACTTTAAATCTGCACCCCCAGAGATGAGGTTCACGGATTCCGCTGTAAATTCAGCTGATTGAAAGATTGGTGTAAGGGTTTTCTGGACCAGTTTCTGCTCTAATCTCACCATTTATGTCTGCACACTTACTCCCAGACAGGTAGGACTGGTTAAAGTAGGTGTTGCCTAAGAAAGTTTTAGCACAAGTGGAGCAATCAGAGCAGGAACAGAAACTAGTGTGGAGGAGCTCGTCTCCTACCTGGCAACCTTCCTTCACTTTGACTTGCTCATACAAATAGCTGTTTCCTGCAAGGCAGAGGAAGGTGAGCTCTTTGTTCAGAGTCACGTAATCTGGGGGGACTTCAGACCCAAGACTTCCATCTTCAGGTCCTCCTGAGGAGAAACTTCCATAGGACGGCAGGAGATCAGAGGATTCCTCTGAGGGCTTGTGCAGTCTTGGAAGCTCACCTTCAGACATGATCTCCACAACTGATGAAGTGGTGTCTTCAAAATAATGCTTTGTTGTGACCGGAGAGCTCTGAAATGGCACCGGGATTTCACTTTACAAACCAGAAGAGGCAGTGTAATGCATTTTAGAACGAAATGGTGCTTGTACAAAAATTCACCCATTTCTGTTGGTTGATGTCAACCAGAAGTTCTTGTAGAACCTTTTCCAGGTTTGGAACTGGAGGCCAAAAAAACTGCTTTAGCTTACTGTTGGGATAAAAAAAAATAAACAAGTGTTGTAATGTGGCAGAAATGCATAAAATATGTGACTGAGAGCTTTAATTCCCACATTATTTTTTATTAAAGACCAAGTTCACTTGTTTTTTAACACATGTGGAGGTCTCTAGTATAAATTAGTGCCTTGTGAGTTGATCTCTTGTTAGCCAGAGCAGAGGGGAGCAGAAGACAGCAAGGTTTAGAGTCTTATGTATCTATGTCACCGACACGAGGGAGGCATGCACACGTAATGACGGAGATGTTTTACCTTCTGGCGTCTCCATCACCTGGTGAGTGTTGCAAAGCAACTCCTCGCCATGACAGCAGAGGGCGTAGTGCTATTCTGGGGCATCCTGTCATGGATCCAGTCCAAGATAGTTTACTGTTGTGTTTATGTTGTGTTTTTTGAATTTCCGATGCTTGATAACAACCAAAATTGTCCTTCGTTCTCCTTCACCTCTTCATGCGATTGCCACCTCTAAACCTAGGTTTCCTGTTATTTCTGTCCACAAATAAAATGCTTGCTTCTCCTCTTTATACTCATCCAGTCACGAAAGAATAAAACGTTCATATTTGTAGTGTTTTTCCACGAAGTATTCTTCAAGCTGCTCCGTGTCTGCCGCTACTTATCGTCGGCTCTATTTTTTTTAGGTCGCGATAGCGGTGCTGCTGATGGATTTAAAGGGAGCTGTGTCCTGACCAATCACATGCGCACGCTCTTTGTCTCGTTCGACAGACATTTAGAAAAGTGGGCTCGACTCTGTCCGTCCTTGCAAGCTTGCTGGAGAGCCCTCACAACGACGGATAATGGCATTGCATGTCTCCGTACGGATGCAGACGGAGAAGCATAAACTAGGCTTTATTTCCTGACATTCAGACATCTTGCCTCTGATTGGCTAACAGCAACGTGACTACCACCATTTGCTTTGCAACGTTGATGTTTTATCCCCATAAATAACGCAAGTCTGGAGGATCTTCTGCCATGTGGTGGAGTTGCTAATGCTAACAGTTAGCTTTTACTAGCCGAGATGTGCTCTGATGTTTCCTGGACGCTAAACCAACAACAGCCTTCCCCAACATGAGCGGAGATGGGTGAGTCCATGAATACAAATTCTCAGTGTGATGTAGATCTTTTCTAATGCGAGAGATTTCCCTTTTTTTATCTGTGGCTAATGGAGGAAATTAGGGGTAGACTATTTTCATGTTCAGTCTGCATGTTAAACTCATGACTGATCATATTTAAAACATAACAAGTTAAAACAAATTATCAGTAAACACAGTCTCTAAAAATGTCCAAAACTGCTCTTGTTCTTTACAAGTATTCTGAAATGTTCTGTGGATTATTTTATGAAATTTTACCTGCAATAAAGGAAAAACAGAGAGATGAAGATGAAGGCTGTGATCATCACGAGAACAAGGACACACGACATGAGCAGCATGTCTAAAAAAAAAAGTCAGTGTGAACGGAACAAAACCAGTACATTGTTTTTCAAAATCACATGAAAGGATTAAATGTATCAATGAATTAAGAATTTTTGAAATTATAAACTCATAAATAAAAATTGGATGGCTTTGATCTAAAATTGTAATTAATTGTATTAGTTCAAGCTTACCAGTGTCGGGTAGGATGTCACCATTGAGCACACTGGACCAGTCACTCCAGTACCCCGAGTAAACGGTCCCAGTTGGTTCAACTCTGATTTGAACACTGAACTGGGACTCTGGTGGAGCCTTCACACACATGTTGGTCTCTGGGCCTTTTATTGTCTGCTGGTGTGAATGAAATCATCATCATTAGTAATAATTTATTATTTCTATTACCAGAATAGACAAGCTGCCTTCATTCCAACCCTCAATAATTCCATGTTGTCATACATTTTCAAACAGAATTACCAGTTTTGTTCAGAATTGAATGTGCTGCATTTATTTATTATCTTAATCAATGTCAATGGTTCCCAATTTTCTATTTTGTCATTAGGAAGCATCATTTTCTTCCCGAGAATCTTATAATATTACTGATTAATATTACAATATCCCTAATATCACTAATTTAAATACTAAAAAGTCATCATGTGATGCCATTTTGGTTAAAGACAGTAATTAGTTCATGATGGAATGAAGTTACTTAAATACTTTGATACGTTCTTATGCTAAATGGTTCAGATGTTTGGGTTTTGATAAGTGGGGAGTACTGGTCTAATTAATCCATTGTGCTAAACAGGTGTTTTTCCAGTGATTAATTCACCAGTCATCCACACACACACACACACACACACACACACACACACACACACACACACACACACACACACACACACACACACACACACACACACACACACACACACACACACACACACACGTGTTTTTATGGGTTTGTGTGGACTACGTTTTCTGAGTTGTTTGTGTGGACCCTGACTTCCACTATAGCCAGAATGGTGCAAAAATTATGTTTAACTCTAGGTGGGACAAAGGAAGCTTCCTCTAGGATTTTGGTTGTGTGGACCGGGTAAATGTCCACACGATGGTGAATGTCCACACAATGTTGGTCTCCCGTCAGGGGTTGGTCCACACAAACCCATAAAGACAAGTGCACACACACGCACACACACACACACACACACACAAACACACACACACACACACACACACACACACACACACACACACACACACACACACACACACGCACGCACACACACACAGGCTCACAACGACATTGTGACATCATATTGTACCAACTAACGTTCTAGGGTACCTCTTAGCCAATAGCGATGGCAGATAAAAATTTAAATGTAGTGCAGAGTTTTTACCTGACAACGGCACAACACTGACAGTTTCAGGCGGAAAATAAAAATTTTAACTAAAATGCACTAAAGTGCAAAACTATTGAATGCATGTGTCTGCAGCACGATTAGACACACATTTATGTAGTTTATCAGAAAAAAAAGTTGATTTGGGGGTGACTTGCTCTTTAACCCAAACCCATCTAGTCATTTCCTGAACAAATCTCTGCTTTTACAACAATAAACTTCAGATATATTGACGTTTGATATTGTGGTGATGTTGGAGTGGTAGTGTATGTCAGAGAGTAGGGTGCAAACAGTTAAGCAAGTGGTTAAAAGATAAAATATGTTAAAAAAAGAAGAAAACTAAAGTTTTAATACATTGCTGTAACTCATTCAGTACAAAGTTACAAGATGATTTAGCCATAAAATAAATAAAAATATTGAATAAACTTCAGCACAAAACCTTTAAAATGAACTCAAAGATTTATCAGCTTCTACAGTTTCATCCGAGACCACCAACACGCTGCCTTCAAGGCCATGAAGAAAAAACGGCTCAAACATCAGCCTGCATGTAAAATGTGACTCACACTCCACTGTTCCCCTCCTTTGATCTTAATTTTCACTTCATACTGCAGATGGTTTTTCAGAGATGGAAGAGGGGCTTTCCAGTCCAGACACAGGTTGCCTTTACCCGGCACTCCTCTCAGATGGCCTGGTGCTGCGGTTTTAACTACACAAAAGATAAAAGGGTCAAAGATCAAAAATTAACACCTTTTCCTTTTAGCATGATCAACACAGGGTCCAGTGACTAGGACACATGGACAAAAGGAGGGTTTTAGCAACAGAATAAACTATAAAAAAATATTCATTGACTTTAGTGCTTTGGAGCAAATGTAGAGAAAAGCAAGTGGAACTCACTGGAGTTTCGGAGCATAAACTCTTGACTGAAGAAAGTTCTGTTGACCTTCTCTGAAGTGCTGCTGAGCTTGACTTTTATTTTGCTGAACTCGTCTCCACTAAAGTGACACACATCAGACGCTTCTCCGGGCAGACAGCTGCTCCATTCGGTCCAGTTCAGCACATTTCTGAAATGGTTCCATTAAGTAAGTTTTATAATCCCAGCAAAACGACAACATAAGCAGTAGTGTGCACACTATGCAGAAGGAGAGTATAAAAACTCATTTTACTGCATGTGGAAATCTGCTTTTTAATGTTTTTAAACTGTGGTTGTGTTAAAAAATGCAGCTAGATGCATGAAACAAAATTACCTGGAAGTTGTTTTGTAGAAAAGTTTGTATTTAATCTCTGTTTCGTATCTGGTCTCGTTCCAGTGACAGGTAACGTTGTGCAGGTCAGAGGTCGAACATACCAGTGAGATATCATCTCAAAGGAAAAACAGCAATAGGTTATTTCTTAATCTATGAGTTTTCTTTTCATATTTAGTCCCTTGCAGCCTTTGATTGCTCACACACACACACACACACACACACACACACACACACACACACCTGCACTTTGGGGAACTGAAGCTCCAACAGGTTTGGACCAGCTGCTCCAGTGACCCTCTTCTGGTGAAAAAGATGCTTTCACAGAAACCTGGACCTTTATCTCCTCACCTGGTACCAGGTGGAGGCTGACATCTTTGTCCTTAACCTGTAATGATGCAACACCTTGATTATATCATGATTATTTTTAACTTCCGGTGCTGGTGGACCTGGCTGCTGACTGCTGTTTGTTTCTTTTTTTCTGTATAGTTGAGTTTTAGCTGAGTTATTGATCATTTGGGATCAATATCCACTTAATAATGTACGTCTGTGCTCATGTGAGGATTAATTAGGGTGTGCAGAGCTGTAGTATTGAGCTGAGTTGTAAAAGTTCACTTTTTAGTCAGAGTGAGGTATCCAGCAGTCTGAGATAAGGGAGGAAATGGCTTTTGTGGGAGACCTTGGCAGTTTATTTATGTCTGCATTGAAGAACAATAAGTGAGCAAAAGGTTGATTTGTGCGTCTGAATTCTCCAGCTGGTGTAGCCTTTACTTTACAGCTCTGGCGTGCATGAAAGGTCACTGTGTCAATTCTATGGTGAAAATTGACCCTTTTGATTCATTACACCTGTTTACGGAGACTTGGCTCACGCCGCTCATCCCATCCCATTGTGTGTCTTTTACACAACTTTCCTCTGCTACGGGTAGACAGGACCAAGAACAGCAGTATGAGGAAAGGAGGGGGACTGGCTATGTTTGGGAACAAGAGGTGTGTAAACCAGGGCACTACACAATTAAAGGGCAACTGTGTAACGATGACATTGGACTGCTAGCTGTTAGCATGAAATGATATCATGTGGAACGGGAGTTCACTCATGTTATTGTGATAGTGGTGAACAGTGGACTCAGTGGTCTCCTTTAAAAAGCAGCTGAAAACTCACCTGTTCAAGTTGGCTTTGGTGTGACCTTCATCACCACCCTCTCCTTATTCTGCTCTACTTATTCCGCCTTTCCCCCCGAGATCCACTGATTTCCCTCTGTCCCATTCATTTGCTCTCCCTTTCCTTACATTATATTTTTTGACAATTCTTTTCTCTTATTTTAAACATATTTTGAATCATATTTTGACATCTTTTTTATATATTAATTATGTTTTATTTTGTGAAGCACCTCGTGATTTTTATCTTCAGAGGCGCCATATAAAACATTGTTTTCTTTCTTCTTCCTTTCTTTCTTTGACAGGATTTGTTGAAGTCATTTCTTCACTCTGCAGGTGAGTGTGGCTGGTTAAACTGAACTCAGCTTTCCAAATAGCTAGGCTAATCACCATTAATTAATTCACATTAAAGCTTGTTTAACTCGTGTTATATTTGTCTGATGTTGAACTGTGTTTGCTGGTCTGAAACATTTAAGTGACAAAAAAATCTAGAAAGTAGAAGAAACCTGCAACTAGGCAAGAACTTTTCACAACACTGTATTTACACACAATTAAAAAAGCAAGTTAGGACAATAATCAGACTGCAACAAAAAAAAGAAAAGAAGGAATTTTGGATTTTAATTTTATTTAAAAACAGCACGATTTAGAAATAATCGTTTATACACTGCCCAGCCCCCCCCAAAAAAGTTGCCATAAAAAAAAAAGTCACACACTAATATTTCGTTGGACCTCCTGTAGCTTTGATTATGGCACGCATTCGCTGTGGCATTGTTTCGATGAGCTTCTGCAATGTGAAAGATTTATTTCCATCCAGTATTGCATTGATGTGTCACCAAGATCTTGCATTGATGATGTGTTGAGCAGTTTTTAACCCAGTTGTAGCCATTTCTGCAATCTCCTTAGATGTTTTCTCTGCTTAATGCAATGATCTGACCTTTCTCACACAAACATCTTTCCCACGACCGCCATGTGTCTTTCCACATGGTTGTTTAAGACAGGAGAAGCAAATCATTGTGCTAGTTGGTTAACAACTTGTTGCCAGCTGAAAGATAATCTGCAGTAAGTATCCAATAGGAGGCTTGTACCTATTTGCTAGTTAAATCCAGGTGGTGACTTTATTTATTTATTTATCTTTTTGGCTGGCCAGTGGGTTAGACAATCATAATAATTCAATTTTTAAAAATACTTTTTAAACAAAGGCTAAAGCCTCGATCACACCATATGGCGTCCGTATGGCGTCTGCATGTGGATTATCACACAGCTAAAGTTACATGAGCCAGACAGGAAATGAGATGTGTTTCAGCAAGGTTCAGCTGATATTTTTCAAAATAAAACTGGTGTAGCATTATTTTTGTTTTATTAATGAGATGGAGTTTACATTGTAGTTTTGTTTACTCCAGTTTAGTGTAGTGTGTGATGGTTCACGTTCTTTTTACAGGTACATTTTTTACTGGATTGTGTCAAATTTCTTTTCATCTGATTTTTTTGTGGGAGCAGCTATACGGAGACAAACCGCAGTCTGTGTGAATGGCAGTTTGTCCGGAAGCTGGACGTGTGAAAGAGGCTTCATGCTTACGTGTTTTGTCTTTTCTCCAGATTCCCCGGATGAGTATCGAATTCTGTACTCTTTTTCCAGATCTTCTCCACCTTCTGTATCCCAGGAAACCTTCAGTTCTCCAACCTGACCATTTGGCTTTACAGATATTTTGAAGGGAGGTTTTAGAAGATCTGCAGAAAATAAAACAACAAATTAGTGCATTTCTGATAGTGAGGGTTAAAAAGAATAAAATAAACGACTTACAATGATCCTCCACATGAACGGTTCGACTGTAGAGTACAGAGTTGTTAGTGGGATCCATCACTTGCATTTCTGTCTCAGTAAACATAAAAACATCTGTCTTGGGAAAGGAGCAGACATGCAGAAAAGTCCCGTTGTCTGTTTCATGAACAGACACCTCACACTTCTTTCTTTGTAGCCTAGTGATTAAAAACAACATTAGTTTTTCAAATATTTCTAGAAATGCTTATAAAAAGTTACATTTTTCATATCTTGGTATTGGAAGCCTTCTGAGTGTTTGACTAGTTTCCAACCTGATCTGAGTTTAGGGCCGAGCCTAAACATATAGGCATTTCGTTTAAAGAGGGACTGCACACCATCAGAAAATGTAACTCCACACCCAGTCAAGATTTGAAAAATGCCCTGAAAGTGGGTGTTGCCAGGAGGCACAGAGTGGCATGGCCAAGTGTGGGGGAATTTTCATCCTGGGAGGGAGGGGGGTGGGAGGAGACTGTACCGATGACGTGAAATTGTTCCAGCCCCAGTCAATCACAAGTTTAAAGTGCAGTAGCCGCTGTTCTGCAACAGGGAGCAGCACTAAGATGTTTTTAGACCTAGATTCTGGATTTAATCAAGTTTACACACACATGTCAAAAATGCACAGAAACAGAAAGATTGCATTTATAAAGACCCAATTATACAGTTAATTAACAAAAAAAAAGTTATTTTGGGGTTCAGTTAAAATAACCACACACACAGCTGGGGTGTTTTTATCGACTATTTATGTGTTTGTGGCAATTTTGCAAGTATACACACACACACACACACACACACACACACACACACACACACACACATATATATATATATATATATATATATATATATATATATATATATATATATATATACACACACATATATATATGTATATACATACACACACACACACACACACACACACACATATGTATGTATTTGTATTGTTGTTATTGCAAATCAACAATATCATTAGAGATGTATCACAAATGTGGTATTTAGTATAAACAACATACTCTGCACATTGGTAGAAGAAGTGAAAATTCTTGTTCTCTTTGGTCTCAAAGAAGCAGGTGAAATCCTCTCCCCTGCGTGTGAAGCATTTTGGATTCTCCTCATCCTTCAGGACCTGGATAACTGCTCCACGAGTGACAAACACACGTGAAACATACACAACAAACAAGATGGTTAGTTAGAGTTTATATGTTTCTATATATCCTCTTAAAGCACAGAAAATGCATCTTTATTTCAAAGTTATGGAGCATTCTGTTTAAATGCTTTGCAGAAGTTAGATTTCACGGTTCTTTCTGCTGAGCAATACTTTAATTTTGTAACAATAGGATGCATGATTTGGCAAAAATGTAAATGCACAAGTGTTTTGCAACTTTCCAGTTTTTTCCACCAAATAAAAGGCTTCCACTGTCATGACTCCCACCCTTCACCCTCCTCTGCCTCCTCATTTAACCTTCATTCAGCTCACCTGGTCCCTTCACCAAGCTCCTGACAAGCCCTGTTTCCCCTGGCAACCACAATCAACTCCATTCTTCTCACCTGTTCCTGTCATCAGCTTCATCCACTTCACCTGCTCCTGACTCCTCAGCACACCTGCTTCCCCTACTATATAAGAACCATCCAGCTATCCAGTCTCTGCCAGATTATTGAAAGCCTTCGCCAGTAAATTCTCCAGCCATCCACCTTGCCTGATCTCCGGACCTCGTTTTTCTCCTGACCCCTGCCTTTTTCGCTGCCTGCCTTTACGACCTTCGCCTGTCTCTGACTCTGTCTTCAGCCTCATCCACCAGGTAACTCTGCAGCAAATAAAAGACGCTTTTATCTACTTTTCTGTGTTTGGCGTCTTCACGGGTCTTCTGAGTTCTGCTCGTGACATCCACACAGTTACAAATAGTGTTCTCTATTGCTTCAGAAAAAGGACACCTTCTGCAAACCTTGTCCTGCACAAGAAATTATCTCATCCCTACAGATACATCCTTTCATGCACAACTGAAATGCAGAAAATTGTTTTTTTCATAAAATTATTAAAAACTTTGCAAAGTCCTGCAGATGAAAAAGCAAAATGCAAGGAGCTGTTACATTACAGCAAATTACATTTAGTTATGTCTTTTAATAAAAACATGCATTTTTAAGAGATCTAAACAGTCAGTTAACATGTCTTTCAATATTAAAAGTACAACTGTTACAGTTAAAGGGAAACTAATAGTTTTACAGCGTACCTTCCTCTGAAAGATGGTCGGTTCCAGTACTGGTGTTGATTTGGCAATCAGCTGGAATCCAGAACCTAATCAGAAATATCCTCCACATGCGGAGTGCGTTCATGGTGAATTGTTGTCCTGTGTTTTCTAACCCACCTGCATGTTTACCACCTCACACATTGACGTTATTTATATGAGTAATTTTAGGTAAATGGGCGGAGCTACACGATGCGGGAGGGTTGAGCCAAAGTGAAAAGATAAAAAGCAGGAAGTGAGTTTTTTCGAGTTGGGAAGGAGGGGGTAAATTAGTTTTATTTTATTAACAGCTATACTTCCTGCTGCTGATACAACACATTTCTAACAGGGATTAAAGACATTTAATATAGAAAAAATTATAATAAAAGACCAATAAATCCTTATTAGCTCATTGTGGTTTTCAGAATCGCTAACACTCAAGATGTTGTGGAGCAGCTCGACTCTTTTTTTTTTCTTTACATCCTTCCTTTAGTCAACATTCATGAGAGGTTTATGCCCTCTTCAAATATATAAATAAAAGCATAAAAGTTAGGTTGCTGTAACAGAAGCAGGTGTGCTGATTAACCACATCCTGCAGCAGCATCACACACCAGAGCATCATCCTGTCACACATTTATGTTCATTAAACCTGCATTTATATATAAAGAAGTAGCTTTTAAGTCCTGTGCCAATGCCCTCTAAAGGGAAGTGTGGTGTGAGGCATTCATGGATGAAGACCGGTGTTTTTATCTAGTCTAATTTTATATTTTTAAAGCCTTTGTTAACTTGTGTTTTTATTTTAAAAATAGAAAGGGCACTTTGATTTCATTGTGCTATGATTATTTTATTTTATTTATTTATTTTTGATTGCTTCATTGATTGCAGTCTGACAGAGGTGAGGCTGCCATCTGGCGCCGTCGACCCCTCTGACCACCACTAGCACAGGCAAGATGGGTGAACTGTCTTGCCCAAGGACACACCTCAGAATACCCCTGGTGGAAGCTGGAATCGAACCCATGACCCTCTGACCCTGAGATACTTGAACTCCTCCACTTGAGGCAGGACCTCTCTCCCGACCCGGAGGTGGCAAGCCGCCCTTTTCCGGTCGAGAACCATGGTCTCAGACTTGGAGGAGCTGATCCTCATCCCAGCCGCTTCACACTCGGCTGCAAACTTCCCCAGCAAGAGCTGAAGGTCAGAGCCTGATGAAGCTAGGAGGACCACATCATCCGCATAAAGCAGAGACGAGATTCTCCTGCCACCAAACTCCACACCCTCAACACCACGGCTGCACCTAGAAATCCTGTCCATAAATGTTATGAACAGGATCGGTGACAAAGGGCAGCACTGGCGGAGTCCAACCCTCACTGGGAACAGGTCCGACTTACTGCCGGCTATGTGGTCCAAACTCCTCTGGCACAGGGACTGAATGGCCATTAGCGAAAGACCATCCACCCCATACTCCTGGAGTGCCCCCACAGGTGCCTCTGGGGACGCGGCCGTATGGCATGATAATTAAAATAGAAATTTCGTTCATCAAAATAATAAAATATATATATATATATATATAATCCCATCAGGTAGGCTAGAAAAGTCACTAGTAAACCCATGTTATCTGTTTTCAATTGTACGCCGGTTGTTGCAACCGTAGGCTGCTATTGTCTATCAGAAGCTAATGCTGGGGATGTAGGAGACTATTTTCATGTTCATCCTGCACAAAAAACTCAGAGTGACTAATTATAATTGGAAAAAATCACTAAAACATTTTTTTCAGTGAAGTTGACCTTTAAGAGAAATAAAACTGATGTCCTACATTCATCTTCTTACAATTTTGCACAACAAACATTTTGATCAAAGGCTTCATGCTTAAACGCATAAATGAGGTTACAGAGCTTAAAGAGTCTTCCGTTGTTGTTCTCAGTCAGCCCTCCTGAAGAGATTCTGGTCATTTCTGTGTGAACATCAACAGAAACAAGGAGAAGAAGGGTTTCATGGGTGAAGGTCAGGCTGCGCAGCAGGTGGGTGCAAAGGTCACAAAAGGGTTTGTTTTTAAACTAAACTTTTTTTTTCATTTCCAAAACAACCACTTTCACACAACATGGATAAAAATACATCTAAAACCACATTTGTTTCTTCACTACACGTGAGAAAGTCTTCAGGAAGCTTGGCCACTGAAAGCATGCTTGACAGACAGTTGTGCGCCTGTGGTTGGATTAGGAGGAAGCCCGGTGACAGATCAGGCCAGTGCAGCTGGGATCAGCTTGCTGCAGATCTGCGTTCCTGAGCTCTCCAAGGCTCCAAAAACAGGACGTTTAGTCTTGGTGCTGTTCAACAAAGTCCAAAAAACCCCACAAAACCACCCTGGTGTGATGAGGTAAAACAACAGGGCAGCAGTAAAGAATTACCATACAAAACCTTTATTTATCAGCACACTTCTGAGTACAGTGTTCCTCAGTGGATACATTACCATTATTGTTAGATATAGTTAACTATGTTCCATTAATCAACATAGATAATAACTACACATAAGAATTCAACATGGAAAATGAAGCCACATGGAACCAATGCGCCCCCGGTGGCTGGTTGCAGGATAAGTTACAAACCCTGCCGCCTCCATGTAAACGAGTGGGACATTTTCCTGACTAAAAAATACAAAATTATCCTCAGATAATTATTTCCACATGTTCAAGCAAGGTGAACAAATCATTTTCTCATAATCGGAAGGTTGCAGGTCGTTGTGTCCTTGGGTAAGACACAACCCACATTTTGCGCTGGTGGTGGTCAGAGAGACTGTTGGTGGCAGTGCTCGGCAGCTTTGCTTCTGTCAGAATGCCCCAGCAGCGTTGACTACATTGTAGTGCTTCACCACCAGCGAGTGAATGTGTGTGTGGGTGAATGACGGATTGCATTGTAAAGTGCCTTGGGGGGTTGTAGAACCTTAGAAGCTGCTTTATCAAATACAGACCATTTTCCGCTTTGGAAGTTCTGGGAAATTGAGTGATGTCACTGATGAACGCCAAAAGGCATCCACATTAATAACATTTGAAAAGTTAGATTCTGCAGAAGTACGTGGGAATTGAATCCAATTAGGCAACAATGAGATGTAGAAAGTGGTGTTAAATGACCAAAGGACCACTGTAGAAGAACAGATAGCAGCCAATATGGTGGAGTTGTGTGTGTGTGTGTGTGTGTGTGTGTGTGTGGGGTGGGGGTGGGGGGGTGGGGGGGTGGGGGGGGGGGTGGGGGGGCTGGGGGGGCTGGGGGGGGATGTTCCAACACACTTTTTGGCATTGATTTGAAAACAGATGAACACTTCTTTTCTTTCTTTTTAAAATCTTATATCCGCTTCACCAGCATCTCGTCCATTTGTACAAAAGTCAACAAGATTTACGACCAATCAGCATGAGTTAACCACAAGTCCCGCCCAGCGACTCTACCGAGCTTTTTCAGAGTACATACCCCCAGTTCAGCAAACGAAGGTCCAGATGAATGCAGTGAAGGTCCCGTAAAACTGATGGAACGTTTCTGATAGTAGAAACGGAACTTTAAGGTGGTTTTCCAGGAGCACGACTCAGTAACTCGGACCAGTGCAGCTCGGCCTGACCACGGTTCCCAAGGGCACGGTTCGGTATTTTCCCTCTACTTTTAGTAAAACAACCTGGCTGCACAGGCGGTACGACTCCCAGCACCATTCATGTCCCTACTGCACAAACGCTTCACATCCAAGTTGTTATGGTGGATTTTCACACAAAGTACACCCACTAGTAGGACTAAACATGACTAGATCATTTCAGCAGCCTACTAAATTAACAATCTTAAAACGTTATATTCAGACATTTATAACTAGACAGATTGTCTATATTGCCCTCCAACACAGTAAATATCATGTGAAGGGGCCATTAGATGCATTTTTCTAAACTATTTTGATAGAAATTAGCTTAACTTACATTTCCACATTGGTTCTAACTAAATCTACATAAAAATCTGACCACACACAATACAAAACTTCAATTCTTCTCAGCTCTCTTTGAAAATTGTCAAAAATACAGTAGTAGTTACTTTCACATGGCAGTGGTATGCAATAATCCTAATAATTATGACAAAAATGGCACAAACGAGACCGTTCAAGTGCTACAGTGGTGAATATTTGTCCTTATTCACTCAGAAAGTTTGAAAACTTTTGCTTAGTGTGTCCTCAACTTCAACAGTGAAAAGATCTCATGCTCCACATGAGTAAGAAATTCCAGCTCTGACGCCCCACAGACCCTGTGGTGTTTCAGCAAGTTGCATAGCTCCAAATCCGCAAAATCCCCTTCAGCAGTCAGAGAAAATAAGAGTGAGTAGCATCTGTCCACCGATATCCAAACAATCTCCATGTCACTTTTCAGCAAAGTGTCCTTTCACAGTCCTCCATCTATAACTGAGTGGTTGCAGTAGAGCGCCCAGGTCTGCTGCTGTGCCGTTGAGCAGCAGGAAGGTGGCAGTATCGCTGCAACCTGCAGTGTGGCTTTCTCTTGGAGCTATGCGGCATGCAAGGGTCTGGGGGGGCTGGTAGTCAGGCTTCCTCAGCGGTGGCGTCTATTCCAGCGTAGGTGAAGTTCTCAAAGAGAGCCATGTTAACGTAAGCCTGGAAGATGGACGAGGTCTCTGAATGAACTTGTGAGCAGAGCTAAAAATGTGAAAATGTGAGCAACGCCGTACCTTCCTGGCTTCCTGCATCCTGCTGACTTGGACGGAGATTTGGGAGAAAGGAGGTCTCTCATAAGGCCGATCCCTCCAGCACTGTTTCATTAGCTCGTAGCTGGAAGGACAAAACGCGCCTGTCAGCGTGTTTTCAGACCATTTGAATAGGTATCCAGGCCAATACTTACACCTCATCATCACAGTTCTTGGGTTTTTCCATCCTGTAACCTTGTGGCAGTTTCTCATATAGTTCAGCACATGTCATCCCGCAGTAAGGTGTGCCACCTGACGCACAGACACAGGAGGGAAGGAACAAATAAGCACAATAAAGCTACAGGAATATCTATCATTGACGAAAGTTACTTAGTGAAAAACCACTGTCCCAAAAATGATAGAATTTCATCTTCTTCTCTTTGGGCTTTAGGGGTCTTTCTCCATTTAGTTCTAACTTCTACCCTCACACCAACTAACTTCACGTCCTCTTTCACCGCATCCATGCATCTCCTTCTTTTGGTCTTCCTCTCAGCTTCCTGCCTGGTGGTTCCAACCTCAGCATCCTTCTGACTGAAACTCAGTTACGTAATTAACCAAACCTCATTGGGTAATCTTAGTAAAGCTTCAACATTTGCGAACACCTGAAGAGCTTCTTGGTGAAATATATACACTCTAGACACATTTCTTTTTCATTTGCTTTTACGTTTCAGAATGACATATTTGATGTTTTTTTTCTGTGTATTTCTGTGTTTTTCTACATTAACATGAGGTAAACATGGAGTTTGCTTTAGTTGTGTCACTCTGCCTTGGTCTGTTGGGGTGGGTGCAGGCAGCTCTGACCGAGACAGGAAGAGACTGAAGAAGCGGTTAGCAAAGCTAGCTCGTTTCTGGGATGTCCACTGGATTCAGTTGAGGAGAAGTGTGAAAGGAGGATGGTGGTGAAGATGGCCTCCGTCTTAACCCTCTGGAGGCAGGCGTTGCAGATTTGCAACCTACCTGGTAACTCCACATACGTATTTCATGAGCATTTTTAAACTCAGAAGTACCCCTGAAGGACTTAGTTGTTCGCAAGGGCGGCGTCAGGCCTGGCTACTTGGGCTCAAGCCCCGAATGTTTTATGAAAAGACTAGTGCGTGTTACGTGTGAGTGTGTGTGCGCGCGTGTGTGTTAAGCCCCGTATCTTCTTCAGTCCTAAATCCGCCCCTGGTTGTTTGTCCTTTTATCAAAACTTATTTTGAGCCTGAGAGGGTAAAAAAAAACCTCCCACCCACTGTGGGATATATAAAGTATATTCTATTCTATTCTATTTGCATGGGTGAGTTTTATTCATATTCTTCCTCAGTTAAAAAAGCCACGCCTGTTTGTGTTTGAGTGACCCTGTGATGTGCAGAGTACTCCTGCCTCCAGTTGAAGGAGATAAATACCAGCTCTCCACAACAAACACAGTTCATCAGTAACTAAAAATGGAGAAGAGGACATGAGTTCCTCAAAGATGCCGTTTCTAAATCTTATCGTCTCTGATGGGACAAACATCAGTGTTGTGTTGGTAAATGGCAGTCATATAGCACTTTATCAAGTCAGAGGACTCCAAAGTGCTTTACCCTATAATCAATCCATCACCCATTCACACACACACACACACACGTTCACACGCTGGTGGTGAGCTACACTGTAGCCAAATTGCGGGGTGAACGAGCATTTGTGCATGCTGCCCCAAAGCTGTGGAACTCGTTGCCCATTGGAGTTCGGCAGGCTCCATCACTGGCAGTTTTTAAATCTCGTTTAAAGACCCACTTTTACGATTTGGCTTTTAGACAGTGACTCATTTTAGTGTTTTATTGTGTCATTGTTTTAATGTGTTCTTAGTATTCATCATGTTTTATCTGCTTTTGACTGGTATTTTTATCTTCTGTTTTAGTTCCTTAGAATGGTCGCATTTTGTTTTAGCCTGTGCAGCACTTTGGGCAGCTCCCATGCTGCGTTTTAAACGTGCTATATAAATAAACTACGGTATGGTATGGAAACTGGAAATTATTAAAAATGGATCTGGTCAGTTGGTCTCTCAACGCGATTGACGAAATTTTTTCAACGATGAGAATGGGAGAAGGGGCTCCTGGATGTCCCTCTGGGACAGAGCCAGCTGGGTATATCATGGACTCCAGGAAACAGTGGAACCTGATCTGCCTCTCCCAACTGTCTGTAGAGGATTCTGAAGATGTCTGGGTATTCGTGGTTTTGGTGTTGGGATTCCTACTGTTTGGCCTGACCTGGCATACCGGAAAATTAAGAATATTGGTTCATTCCCGGAGCTCAGGGATGGAATGCATCGCACTGTGAACTCACAAACTCATATAATTGTCGAGATGAGTCGTAAGCTTGGAACATTTAGCTGAAATTCAGGCTCTGCACAGAAAGTGGATTTGATCAAGGAGAGAGGTGACGGATCAGCACGGATTGGAATAGATTGATTACACCATTATTAGACCTGGAGGGGTTGTAGACCAACAGAACTCTAAGGCAGAGAGGAAATTATCTCTCCCTGTCCCCAAAACAATTTTATCTGAATCTGGTGCCTTTGAGCCTGTGAGGCTAAAGTGTTAACTCCCCCCTCAGAAGAAATGTGGAATGCTGCCGTTGCTATGGAAACCCTTTCTCCCTATCCCAGCCTGGGCGGGACTGTGACCGGTGAAGGCAGTGGAACCGTATCTAGGAGTCAATGTGCCCCCTAACCCATTATCTCCCTCCCCTGTCCCCTGTCATTACCCATGAGTAATTTTGTGTGTAGTGATCTATCAGACATGGGAGACCCAGGTCGCCATCTTTCCCACACAGCATCCTGGTTTCCTGCTTTGTCAAAGAAGGCAGGATATATTTTTGTTGCATTCTTTAAATAAATTTCAATTTTTTTTCTGCAGTCATTAATTAGTCCCAGAAGAGTCACAGACGAACGTGTATCGTGCAGCATGTAGTTACGTTCAGCAGTCAGGGCTCCATGCAAAGCAACACATCATGGAGGCTTTTAGCTACAGCACCATGCTCTGTGCGTACTTACCCAAGCTCACAATTTCCCACAGGAGAACGCCAAAGGACCACCTGGGAGGCAGAAATGCAGACGAGACAGAAACGTTGGGAAAACAGACTCAATCAAAAGAAGATGAAAGAAATTGCAAAGGTTTCACTGCATGCTTCTAAAAGCAGTCATCTGTTGGTCCTATCTGATGCCTTGCAAAAAGAGATTCAAATGTGCAAATCTACCAATGATGAATAAGAATGAGCTATGATGCATTTTGATTTAAGTTAATGTTTTAATTCATCTGACAGAAGGGCATAAACTAAATAACTACAACACAACAAACAAAATCTGACTTTAATGGGTTAAAAACTGATTTTTTTCTATGCAAATCAAATCGGTTTCATGTTATTCAGACCTGAAACTTCAACAACATGAAACCTTGGTCTTTTTCTGAACCTGATATAGCGACATTCTCTGACGACATGTCCCACCAGCTTCAGAAGTTATCAGCTCGTGTGGTAGATTTCATTAGCCGACAGCTGTTTGTGCTCAAAGTCAATCCTTTCTACTGCAGACATTTTCCTAATGCATTCTTACTTTCAATCTCTCTCTTAAATGATGAATCCATGTTTCTGTTTTTTCATGTTTACAACTCTCTGACCCCAAAGGCAGAGTTCACGCTGCTCCGCTCCACCGATCTCTTCCCTGCTGCGTATTATTAGCCTCCGGTTGACAGAAGAAGGTCTCTGTGTGTACGCTAAGGCTTCCTGGTTGTGCTTATCTGGCACACAGCACACTTTTATCAGTCTAACAATGACGGCAGGATGATTTGTTGCTTTCTGTGGTGTACATAATCAGAACTTCACTTGGGGGTGAAAATAGAGCAGCAAACTAAATGGTGTAACTACTGTAAGCTGATTAGAAATGAGGAAAATCAGTTAGTATTATTATCATTAATAATAATGTTCATAATAAAATGAGTGAGCACAGAAGGTGTGTTTTAATAGGTCGTGTGGAAAACTCACACGTCACTTTTGGATGTATACACGCTGTAATTCAGGGACTCGATGGCCATCCAGCGAACAGGCAGCCTCCCCTAAGAACCAAACAACAGATTCATATAAATGTTGGATTCGAGGCAAACGTTTCTGACTTCTGTGATTCTTTGAGCAACAAAGTGCAAGGTTGTACAGCTAAAGCAGATTTACACAACACTGCCCTCCACAGGCGATGCGGCAGGACAGCAGCGTGTAGTAGAGCAGACGCTTTAGTTCTGACTCTTTCAAAAGCAAATGTTGTGCTTGTTAGGTTATTTCTGAGAATCTGGTGGCATGTTAAACAACTGAGATGTTGCAAAGAGTGTTTAAAATGTGCAAATAAGAACATTTCTGCAAAACAAAGAAATTAATGTAGAGCATCCAATAAGTTTTAATGATAAATGAACTGCACTTTTATAGCGCCTCTCAAAGTACTTTACACTACAGTGCATCATTCATCTATTCACACACACTGATGGTGATGAGCTACAATGTAGCCACAGCTGCCCTGGGACACACTGACAGAGGCGAGGCTGCTGAGCACTGGCGCCACTGGACCCTCTGACCACCACCAGTGGGTTAAGTGTCTTACCCAAGGACACAACAGCAGAATTCTCTGTCCGGAGCCGGGATCGAACCTGCAACCTTCCGATTACTGGACAACCCGTTCAACCTGTTGAGCTACTGCTGCCCATTAACTGTCTTTGGTTCTGACCTTTTTTACAGTTCATCAAGATTTAAATGAATTGTATTTAATAAAAAAAAGGATGTGTTGATTTACTGAGAGAGGCAAAAAATCCATTATTTTAAATCCTTTGTCTGGAGCCTAAGCCACGCCCATCTCTCAGACCATGGGTCCCCAATTGTTAACTCATTCACTGCCAATGACGACTAAAGGTATGTCTTGATCTAATGCAGTCAGACGTCATATCCAACAACTAGCTCCCTCTGTTGGTTGCATGTCCAAACAACTCACCATCGTCTTCTTGACATAAACTTCCTCTCCTCGGGAAAGACCAAAGTCTGCGATCTTCGCCACAAGATTGTCCCCCACAAGAACATTCCTCGCAGCCAAATCTCTGTGGATGAACTAGAAAACAGAACACAGAGGCAGTGTGATCACTGCTGACATCAACCAGCAGCTCAAAAAACAGAGAAAATAGAAACACAACTTTAAGAACCAAACATATTTACACATTTCCTTGTCGTACCTGTTTGTCACTGAGGTAATGCATCCCGGTTGCCACGTCAACGGCAAACTGCAGCAGCTGCTGCGAGGTGAGGGTGGATGCAGTGCCGTGCTCTTTAGCAAAGGCGGGGTCAGTCTCCAACACTCGACTCTTCCTCAGAAAGTCAAGGAGGTTTCCATAGGGAGCATATTCTATGGCTATGTACAGGTAGCCTAAAGAAAACAGATACATCATGATTATTCTCCTAGGTCTAAATAATTAATTAATAGGTGTTTAAAGGTGCTATATGTACGAATGAAGTAAGATTTACATTCTGTGGTGAAATCTGGTTACTGCAGCCCATTCTTTAGGACAAAAAGTCACTACCTCACTCCCATTAGTGAGTTTCATGGCTGTTGCCAGTTACAGAGCACTGCCAGAATGTTCTAGATGAGCCATACACAGTAAGTGGATAAGTAAAAAAAGACATTGTCGTATCTGATGTTAGCATTCTTGGGCGTTTTACGGTAGGGGGCAATTACTACACTTATTATGATAAATTACCGTCTGTATTATGCCAGGATTAGAGGAAGTGTGGCTGTTTTACCATCTTGCTGTTATAGTTCTGAACGCCTTATTAAAAGGAAGTAAAGCACCATGATTGATTCTTTATTCACTTCATACACACATTTTACTGTAATATGAGTTGTTGGTATTTGAAAAACGAGATTGAGATATTTTTAGAGCCAACTATTTGCTTCTAATTCACTGTTAGCAATGTAAAACAAAAAGATGCCGTGGCTTCTCAGGGGTACAAGAAATAACTTCTGGGCCGCTCCTGATTACTGGCTTCTGTTCTTTTAACAGCCCTGGAGCTTTGTGCCTGCCGGTGTCAAATTACATTAATTTTGGCGTTAGATCGGCGCAGACTTGGCAGCCCCTTCCTTCCAACATGACTGAGACATTAGACTGTATTGTGATAATTTCACTGTAGATTTCTAGCATATTGCTCCTTTAATCTTTAAAATTACTTCAAAAAGTCGTCATGTTCTGTGTCCCTTTGTTCCCCAGCTCCTCCAGTTCCCACTCCAGGTTCTCCTTTTGTGTTCTCTTAGTGCCCTCATGTGTCCTTTGTCTGCATCTCTGTTATGTGTCTTAAATTGTAGCTCCAGCCTCTTGTTCCCCAGTTCATTGTATGTGAGGATGAGTTTGTGTGTGTCAGTATGTGTATGTGTTTGTGTGAGTCCTTCCCTAAGTCTTTAGGTTTAGTTTTGTGTTTTATATAGTGTTAGGTTTATCTGCCCTCCTCTGGTTCTCTTCCCCATCCAGATAATTGTTGTCACCTGCCTTCCCTCCAGCCTCACTCCACACACCTGCTTCCTGTTGCCCTAATTGCTTCTCCCTGTCAATATAAGCCCTCCTTGTCTCATTGTTCTTGTCGGTCCATTGTTGTTTGTCAGCGTTGTTCTTTGGTGCTCTGTGTGAGCTTCCTGTCTAGTCCCCAGTTTGTGCTCTAATTGAGCTTTGTCTCCTGCTTTTGGATTTATGGATTTTGGGCTCCATGCCTCTGGATTAATTTTTGTTCATCCAACAATAAAAGGATTTTTTTACTTTATATCAACTCCTGCCTCATATCGTCTGGTGCTCTGCATATTGGGTCCTACTCCTCCTAATCAGAATGTGACAAAAGTAATTGCAAAGCTACACAACCGTGTTTCTCCATTTCTAATACAGCAGCCAGACAAATAGTAAAAAGCTCTTTGTTGCAAAAACTCGTACTGAGGACTTGTTTGCATTTGCATATGGACTAAAGATGGCAGTGGACTTGGCCTCAAAGGGTTTAGAGTTGACGTTTCTGTAAACCCTGACAGAACTCGAGCAGATGGTTGTCTCCCCCGCTTGTAGCTGTTGGAGCAGTTTCACGTTGATCTCACCAGAACCAGGAAGTGTTCCAACACAAGTAGGATGAACCATTTGTGGAAGGAGGAAACCATGTTTACTTGGAAAAGTCCAACCGAGGATGTGTTGTTCTTTCCTGCAGCAACGTTTCTAAAACCGCTCCGAAACTAAACCATGACAGATTCTTTTTGTGCAAGGCATGTACACATACTGAAAGAATTATGATGAAAAACGCCTACATTTTTAAACCTACCTACAGCTTTGGATTTGTTCATGATTAATTCCTTCAGTTGACGAGCATGTAAGTAGAAATGTACTTGAGAATATATAAAATAAGATCCACTTGTCTTTCTCCTGATTGGAGTCTATAAAATATCTTGTGTCCATCCTGTTCTACTCTCCAGTCATGCACCAGTTCAGGGCTAAAGTCATTCCTCAAAGCACTTAATTCTTCCAATATGTTGATATAAGAGTAAATTTGTTCCAGATCTCAATAAGAATGTGAATTAAATTACCCCATCCACTTCCTCCGCAGGGCAGTGGCCTTTCCTTCGACAGTAAAATATCACTTAACAACCTCCCATAAACGAATCTAAACAAACTGGATGATAATGCAGCCTGAATGCTTATAAATCTCTTTCATGGAGGAGATAGTAGCTTTTAGTTTTATGTCATCCTACAAAACCATTTCAGGGTTGATGTTTTTCCTCCACAATATTTCTTACTTGCTTCTCTTTTGCTCATACTTAACCCTTCTTTTACTTTTTCCATGATGCAAAGCAATTCTCTAAAACGTGCAAGAAACAATAGTCTAAAATAATGTCTAGCAATAGCTCCTGCTTTTTTAAATCTATTTTAATGCAATTATAGCTCAATAAACGTCATTTGGATACATAAAAGCTACAATTGTGCATGTTATCTGAATTATTCAGAGTTTGTATGCAAAACTAAATTGAGTTAGTAATGCTCTCACCAGAGTAGCTATCACTATAGATTTTCTCTTATATTGTATGTATCATTTACAAAAGTAATCAAATTACATACTTTAAAAGCCACCGGATGGAATTAGCTGATTCCTCCCGGTAAGAAATGGTGCCAAAGCAGCTTGACTGGAGTGCAGAGAGAAATCAAATAAACGTTAAAAGACTATATCTTCTTGCACGGAGGCATTTGGCAGGTTCTAATAGCGCAGGCGAAGGCCACAAAGAACCGTCTCTGTCAAGGATCTTCTTCACCTGTAGATGTCTTTAAAAGAATTGGGAGAAACCATGAAATTCCGCTCACTCTGAGTTTTACATGCATGCTGAACGTGAAAATAGCCTTCAGTCGAAGTTCCCTAAAAAAGAAAGGAAAGAGGCTGGAAAACACCCAGGTCAGAAAAAGCCGGTCAGATTTTTGTCTGAGGGAAAATTAGCATTCATGGATTGTCCACCTGGGCTTATGACAAGTTGTATTCATTTAGCGTCCATGAGAGAGCAGAGCGCTTGTCAGGTGGATGAAGCTAACTGTTAGCATTAGCCACTCCACATTTTGGGGGAACATGTTATTCGTGGACCTAAAGCATCAACTTTGCGATTTTAAGTCAAAAGGGAAGACTGAGCGAAGGCAGTGGAAGAGTTGTGTTGCTGTTAGCCAATCAGAGGTCACATATTTACATATCATGAATATTAATGAGCTAGACTTGTAAACCGGCTGTTGCCCCAACAGAAACAGGAGCACCTGAGCTTTATGTGTGTAGAAAATTGCACATGAGGCTTTCATTCATAAACAGCAGATTTGTTTAAAAAACGAGTGAATGAGCCTGTTAAACAATAAAAACACACCACTTAAACAAAAAAGTATGATTTAGCTTCAACAAAGATTAGGACAACAAACAATTTCATTCATTTTATTGATTTGAATGAGTGAAGCTCTAGATGACTCAGCATTTTGTTTGTGCCGCTATGATCCTCATCCTAACATGTTTATTAACGGCTGTACTCCCCACAACACTGCTCTCACCATTTATAACAAATTTTCTACCTTTTTCAGTTTGTTTTTATCGAAAGAATCATACATTATGACGTAACTAAGCCTCTAAGTGCCTCTCTGTATGTTAACAAACATGCAATCTGTGTGAAAAACATGTCTATGTCAGCATAAAAGAGGCCAATAGGATCCACTAGATGTCACTCACTCACCTCTGTTCTCACAGGCTCCTATCAAGTTGATGATGTTGGGATGTTGGCCTAGTTTGCACAGCACCTCCAGCTCTCCAGCAAAGTCTCTGTGGTCGTTCTCGGAGGCAAACTCTGCAGGCAGAATCGCATGCAGTGCTGCATTCAGTAAAGTGCAAGCGAAGCAAGTTTTCTCATCGGTCAGAAAATTAAATGCACCAACTTCAAACTAGCTCTGATTGTGTGTGTGTGTGTGAGTGTGTGCAGCACATGCATTAATCATCTATACTTTTTGCACAGGCATAGTTACCCTTGAGCATCTTGATGGCTGCACTCATTTTGTTGCCGTCTTTTTTGATCATGGCTTTGATGACCTGGTATGAAAGTTTTTATAGTTCAATCGTTCCAACATGTGTAAAAACACAACAAATAGAATGCGTTCAAACCTGGCCAAAGTTGCCCTCTCCAATGACATCCTCAAATTTGATGTCCTCCCACTCGAGGATTGGATAGGTGAGAGGTTCTGGCGTGGGCTTGGGCCTTCTTGTGAGGGTCAGAGTTCCTGAGTTAAACTGCAAAATGGTTTCTTCACCCTAAAGATAAAAAAAGACAGTTGGCAAAGAAATTAGTGTGTGGAAGTTCTCTGATGCAAGATTTTATCCAAAATAACCAAATGGTTTTCCATAATCACAATTAGAAAGTTCCCTCTGTTTGGACTCTCACCGATCCAGACTGGTAGGTAAACGTTCGGCGACGATTGAGCAGCATCTTCCTGATGAAGAAAAGAGCCAGCAGAGCCAGCATTATGGTCACACAGGTAACGGTTACGGAGGCCACCACGGCCACCACCAGCTGGTAGCTGTCCCCAATTGGCCTCCCCACCACACCCTGGGTGGTCGGAGTTAAATTTCGAAGGCCTATTTTCACAGAGGAGAGAAGATGGGAATAAAAAAAAAGCAAGAAGAGAAACAGATAAGTTTCAGTCAGAGGAGACAGATATGTGGTTTTAGTATTGAACATGTATTATCCGTCTTTTTGTGGGTGGTCCTTTTCAACTCCAGCCAATGAAAACTCATGATAGGCTTTCAGCATAGCTACGAAGAACTTTCCACTTGGAACTACATTCAGGTTCAGCGTGAAAGAAACCACAAAAAATAGTCATTTATATCAGCATAATAAATAAGGACTTATTCTGGAACAAAGCTACTTCTTTAAAGTGAGAGTTCTGCCATGGCTGGAGACTTATTTCATCCAGACTTCCTGTTAGAAAAATACATGGAAAAGAGCTACGTCTTTAAGAACCGTTTCTCTTTGTGTTGGTGCCCTCAGATGGTTTTTGAGATTTTTCGTTGGCTTAAAAAAGAACGTTGACATTTTTTCTGTCCTGCAGGATGTTTGTTTCGGCCACATTGCAAAGTTGTTGGACAACCAGGTGAACTTAAAAAAAATTGTTAATACTAATTTTAAAAAGTAACCCAGGAATCAGCTCCTCTAAATCTGAGACCATGGTCTTGATTCGGAAAAGGGTGGAAAGCCTTCTCTGGTTCAGGGATGAGGTCCTGCACCAAGTGCAGGAGTTTAAGTATCTCTCGGTCTTGTTCATGGGTGAGGGAAAGCTGGAGCGTGAGATTGCTAGGCGGATTGGTGCTGCATCTGCAGTGATGCGGGCGTTGTACCGGTCTGTTGTGGTGAAGAGAGAGCTGAGTCAGAAGGCGAAGCTCTCGATTTACCGGTCGATCTACGTTCCTACCCTCACCTATGATCATGAGTTTTGGGTAGTGACCGAAAGAACGAGATCGCGGATACAAGCGAAATAAGTTTTCTCCGCAGAATGGCTGGGCTCTCCCTTAGAGATAGGGTGAGAAGCTCGGTCATCCGGGAGGGGCTCGGAGTAGATTTGCTGCTCCTCCACATTGAGAGGAGCCAGTTGAAGTGGCTCGGGCATCTAGCCAGGATGCCTCCTGAACGCCTTCATGGTGAGGTTTTCCGGGCACGTCCAACCGGGAAGAGACATAAAGGTAGACCCAGGACACATTGGAGGGACTATGTCTCTCACCTGGCCAGGGAACGCCTTGGGAATTCCCGCAGAGGAGCTGGCCCAAGTGGCTGGGGAGAGGGAAGACTGTACCTCTCGCCTTAGGCTACTGCCCCCGTGACCTGACTCCGGATAAGCGGACGAAAGTGGATGGATGGATGGAGCCAGAGGAAAATAGGAAGCTAAAAAACAGGCTCTAATGGGTTAGAGGAGGTTCTGATAAGTGCATGAATTGGGGGAACCTTTTACAGAGGGAAGCGATTACAAAACAGGGACAGTTGAGCTGATTACTGATGAAAAACAGGTGTGCACGATCACTGACTAGGGAGCTGAGGCAAGGTGAAGAGTAACCCCTTCTTTCCACCAGAAATGAAAGCTATATAAGGAATCTGGAGTCAAGCTGGAGCCTTATGGATTCCGGTCCGCATCCGTCCCACGCTCGATGTGAATAAGGGGTAACAGAGACATGATGGGTGCCAAAACACAAGAAAACCGATTTTACAGCCAAAAAGGGGCAAAACTAAGTAAACTGAGACAAAGGGACAAAACAGCAGTAACATAAATAAAGTGGCAAACATTAAATAAACAAGATAAGATCAGAAACTCTCTAAAAGAGTGGTTCCCAACCATTTTCACGAGGAACCCCAATTCCTACCCTAGACAATTAAAAGTAAATAATTAAGTTTTATACTCATAGTTACTATTCCTCTTACACAGAGTACTTATACTATTGTGTGCATTGTCGGGATTTTATGAAAGTCATTTTTACAAATAAAATATTAACCTCACAACCCTCAGCATAGACAATCTTGTTGGGACACCCTTGGGGGGGCATGGACCCCAACTGAGAACAACTGCCCTAAAACACCCAAATGTCGGAAAGTGGCAGTTTCTTATGAGGAAAACGTAATTTCATTAAATGAGAGATTATGTACAAATATTTTGTGAATGTTGTTACCACAAATCTCCCAAAATTGCATCGTCGTCATTCACCTAGCTGTTCCTATAAACAGCTGACCAGACAACAAGTCCGTGCTCACCATCGCTTTGTGTCATCATCTGAACAAATCTGCTCCACTCTCCTGGGACTTTAGAGATGGCCCTCACTCTGAACTGGTACAAGGTGCTGCTGTTGAGTGCCGTCACATCTTTGGTGGTTTTGTTCCAGTCGTCAATGTCAACCCAGTGATGAGGGCTCCCCTGACCAACTGGCTGGTACTCTATAACGTACTTTTTTATGCCTCCATTTGGATCCTTAGGGGGCTGCCATTTCACCTGGATGGCTGATGTGGAAAGGGACAGAGCCTGGACGTTGCGTGGGGACGATGGGCCTAAGACAGAGTTGGTATTCTGTTAGATGATAATCTCATTTGGTTCATTTCCCCCTCATCTTTCTGCAGATGTGTTTGTTTTACCTTGGCTGTTGAGCCTTAATGAGTAAGGTTTGGATGGTGGACCCTGGCTGCCACAGTTCAGCAGCCTGACTATCATGGTGTAGTCTTGATGATACTCTAGGTTGTGGAACACGGTGGAGAGAACACTCAGCAAAGTTTCCTTCTCCAGTAGTTTCTCATTGTCAGGTGGCGGAGCAAAGAGCTGCACTAAAAAGCCGGTTGCTGTTCCAGGAGTGACGCCGCTGTTGGGGGGCAGCTGCCATTTGACGATGGCGTTACGGCCCTCCATCGTGCTAAAGTCGATCTCAGGTTGAACTGTGGGCTCTGCAACAACAGAGAACACAGGATGAGCAAGTCCGTTCTAAGAGCACATTCTAAATAACACATTTCTTTTTCTTTGTAAGTTTCTTGATTCATATTCTTTGTGTAGGCTTTAAAGGTAGAATATGGAACCCGCCGTGATACCAGGTTCGCTGCCGATACATGACATTTTTTTGGGGTCCATCTGTTGTAGGCTTCACCTAAATTCACAGTGATTTTAGATCTTTTATGGTTGCTCCTCTTCTGAGAAAGATAACGACATCTTCTGGGCTCAGAAGCAGCTGCTTGACTTGCCGAGTTCGCCATTTTCCACGGGGCCAGCCTCGCTGAGCCAAGCGGACTGTTTTGCAACAAACATTGGTGTCTTCTATTGGGTGGTAGGTGTAAACATAAACCCAGTGTCGTCCATCCATCCATTTTCAGCCGTTTATTCGGAGCGGCTGAGGTCGCGGGTGCAGCAGACTAAGCCAAGAGGGCCAGACTTCCCTCTCCCCACCAACTTGAGCTAGCTCCTCCGGGGGAATCCCAAGGCAGTCCCTGGCCAGCTGAGAAACATAGTTCCTCTAGTGTGTCCTGGGTCTTCCCTTGGGTCTCGTCCCAGTTGGATGTGCCTGGAAAACCCCACCAGGAAGGTGTCCAGAAGGCATCCTAACCAGATGCCCGAGCCACCTCAATTGGCCCCTCTCGATGTGGAGGAGCAGCGTGTCTCCTCCGATCCCCTCACAGATGGCCGAGCTTCTCCAAGGGAGAGCCCAGGCACTCTGTGAAAAAAACGAATTTTGGCTGCTTGTATCCGCAATCTTGTTGGAATGTAGATTGATCGGTAAATGGAGAGCATTGCCTTCTGGCTCAGCTCTCTTTTCACCGTGACAGTCCGGTACAACACCCACGGTACTGCAGACCCAGCGTCATACTCATCAAAAGAAATATTTGATTATTTTTTAAATTAAAATATAGCTTTTAAAGCAAATACTGTACATTCATTCTGCACACCTCTAAACTCCTGATGGAGGTATAAAATACCGCCTGTAGAAATTGCATCTCACAAGACCTGAATTTTGCTTTTGTGCTAGGTTTGGTGGGTCAGTGGATAAAGCATCTCCCTCTCACTTTATTTTCCCATGTCCTGATGCCAGTTCAATTTCCTGTATCAGCAGGAATTTTATTTTCTTCTTTTGTAGCTACATTTCTTGCCAGAATAAAGTTTTTAAGCCTTTATTGGTAAGCCGATTAAATATCAAGACAAATCTTTTGATTTTTAGTTTTTTACATTCTTTGTTCACGTAGCTGAAGCCCATGTGAGTCCATGTGAGGTGAGCAGAGTAGATCATTGAGACTTCTGTGTCCTGTCCAGAGCATTGCAATTAAAATGCTGCTGGGAAATGACCCAATTCAATGATCTTTAGAGACACCAAATTTTTAACAGAAAATAATCAATAAAATTAAATATAAAAGAAAATTTAAGCTGCTTCAGCTACCAACATGAACGGACGCATGTCACAACCTACCATAGCAGGTTGGATCACACTTCATTTGTGAGTTTGGTTTTCTAACAAGCACATAAGCTAGGATAGATTGACCTAGATAGACTTAAATGTGCACTGGATGTGAGTTCACTTAAAATAGGCACTTTAAAATAGGTTGTTAGTATGTTTTTGATCCAGAATGCGGATAAAGCTGCTCATACGGAATGCATGTGTGGAATTTCTGAACCTGTCAGCACAAATATACAGATCTTCGCCTTACCGGGACAATCTGTCTCCATGATTGCCTCTGGTCCAGGGGACCCCTCTCCTCCCTCCCCAGGGCGAGTCAGCTGGACTCGCACCAGGTAGCGTGTTGAAGGCTCCAGGTTCATCAGGGTGATGGGCTCTTTGTCGCTATAAACTGTACAAAAGAAACACGTTAACCGTGACTGCAGCAGTTTTTTTTAAATAGACCAATGGAAGTGGAAAAAACTGTTATAAATTCCTTTATCGCTAAGAAATATGAGGTGCCCTCATTAAAAAAAGATTTTCCCAACTGGTAGGGTGTTGCAAATAATAATAAATAATTAATTTTAATCTGACTTGGCCTGCTTCTCAAAAAAATCATGAATCTGAGAAATGTTGCCCTGGTGATTTCTCTTGCCTCAGCCAGAACTTTATCATCTCCGGATCTGAGTGGATTTTTTTTCCCTCTGTTGTGCAACAAAATAAAAGGGGGGAAAAAAAGAATAAATTGTGACTCCATGACTGTTTGGGAGGTGGTTTGACTTTGTTTACCTATGATAGATGACCAAGAGTTTCCGTTCTCCACGGGCTTGTAGAGAAGTCTGGTTGAGATTACGGGGCCGTCTCCTCGGTGGGACTCTGCAGGCATCACCACCAGCTGTTTACTCCTCTTTTCAAGCAATTTTGGAGCTGTAGTCGGTACTGGAGGCTCTGTGTATAATTGAGAACAGTTCAGCTTTTATTGTGAAAAATGCAATTTCTGTACATAATTCAAAATGTTGCCCAACAGAAATCTCTTCACTCTGACCTTTAACAGTGAGATTAAATTTGCGGGAGTCTTGGCCTCCGTTGGTGGACACCCTGCACTCCCACAACCCTCCTTGTTGAGCGTTCAGGCGAGGAATCTCAAACAGAGCTGTGCTCTTATTGGCTTCCATGATGGTTTGCGAGGCCTTAAAGAGAACGTGGAGGGGAAAAAACAAGTCCAACTCAAAAAATCCTCAGAGAAAATGCTTTTGTTCTTGTGGAAAATCCTGGTGCAATCATTTATCAGATTATTTCTTCTATCAAGGAAACAACGACAAGAAGACTGAACGTATTCGCGCACGATGAAGCATGATCCAGCCTTATCTGGTCAGACCATTGTGTTGCCGACTTCCTCGAACTGCGACTGGACCTTCTAATCATCAGTCAAGACTTAAAAGCATTGGTCAGTTTGTATTTCTACTTGTGCCTGATGGTCCACTGACTGCTCGGTTTAGTTTGATGAATTTCAAAGTTATTTGAGGCTCTTTGTCTCTAAAAATTTAATACAATTTGGTAAAAGTTTGTTTCCTTACAGTCAAACAGAATAGATCAGTCAGGAAAACAAGCAGCTCATCGGCGTTCAGAGTTGATTATAAGCACCTTAGTTTCTCAAAAAGCTTGATAATTATAAATGACCCCAATTTGTGTAACACTTACAGTAGCTTTCCGGAGTTTTGCCCTTTCAGAAATGATACATGATTTTTCAGAAATCCGTAAAAGTGATTATCTTATCACGTATCATCATGTATAAAATGTAAGCAATACGTCTTTTTTATTTATTTTTCTGCTAAGCATGCCCCCTGCCCCGCAGAGCTCCGTGCAATAGGAAACTGAGCATGACCACAACTAACCAATAGCGTTAGAATACTGCTTACATGCTTCAAAGTTAAGGAATACCTCGGCTGATGCAGAGTTGATGAACTTTTCACGAACAAGTGTTTAAAATACAAATATATGAAAACACAACATGACATGAGAATAATACTTGTAAAACAACGTGTTTAACTATGTCGGCTACCAGTGTTGGGAACGCTACTTTTAAAAAGTAATTAGTTATAGTTACTGATTACTTTGTCAAAAAAGTAACTCAGTTACTAACTGAGTTACAAGATCATAAAAGTAACTAATTACCAACAAAAGTAACTACTTAGTTACTTTTTTCATTAAAGAATGCAAGAATTATAGTAAAATATAAATGACTAATGACTGAACATAATAAAATGTATGTCCAAATGTTTTTATAAACCTGAATAATTTAAACAAATAAGCACTTAACAGGAGGAACTACTAATAGGAACATTACACTAATCTAGACTATTAAAAGGTCACTGTGTGACATTTAACAAAAACCCAATCAGCTACAATTTAAAATTGCAAATAGAAACACCTGTAAAGGTTCCCGAGCCTTTAAATGGTATCTCAGTCTAGTTAAATTACAGAAATAAATGTAATTTTGCACAGCATTCTAATTTTTCCAGCTTCACATAATTGTGTGTTTTAGCAGCATTTCTGTTGCTGGTAATCTAGTAACGTTTAATAAATAAATATCCTTTAAAATGACACTAGAAGAGGCACAAGCCTGATGGAGGACTTACATTTACTAACGTGGGTCAGACCCAACCACAGAAGAGCTGAAGCTGGGTGGTAAACACACACAGGTAGTTCTGATAACACCTGAGCTCCATGACGTCTGAGACTGATGCATCAGTGTTACAGCGGGACTAAAGACATGATCAGAAACAGGTTACAGCTGGATGATCTAGGAAGGCAGAAGATCAGGACGTCTGAGCGGTGAACAGGTGAGCGGACCATCGGGACGTCCCGCTGTCATGCTAAGAAGGGCACGGCTGCAGACCCGCAGATTCGCGGCTGCAGCAACAAATCTGCGGGGGGTCTGCAGCCGTAGATATTCATCACGTCTTCCTCGTTCTTCACGGGCCGTGATGCTCTTAAACATCTACCTCTTTAGCTCCTGATCAGCTGATGACCGCTTCAACACACCGCGCTGCTTAACGCACGCATTTCCTTATCAGTAACAGAAACGATCGTTTTGATAAAAGAAGACGTAATTAATTAGTTTGCTCGTTACAGAAAGAAATATTTTTTATTAACGCGGTTATTTTAAACGGAGTTATTCCCGTTGTGTCTACAGAATGCAGCGACTGAGACCGTGAGGGTCTCCGCCCTCCCGGCCAATCATCATGGTGTTTGTAAGTGTGTTACCGACACCTCTCTCTCCCTGGCTGCAGCTGAAGTGTGGCGGTCAGAAAGCCTCCCACTGTTGCTCAACGTTCTACAAGCACATAGTAACGCACAACGTTCCGTCCCCAGTAACGGTAACGGCGTTGCAACGGCGGGAAAAGTAATTAATTAGATTATTCCGTTACCTATAAAAGAACGCCGTTAGAAATGCCGTTATACTTAAACGGCGTTACTCCCAACACTGTCGGCTACAGAAGGACATAGATCAACAAGAAACGTGAAGTCGTCATCTTAAAACAAAACGGAAGGAGAAATTATTTGTGTGACATGCTTGTCAGCCACTAGATGGTGCCATCGGATAAAAGAAATACTCCAGAAAGAGACTTTAAGAGACAGCAGTGGTTCAGGACGTAGATCAGGTTGTCCTGTAATTTGAAATGTTGCAGGTTTGATCCCGGCCCCCAGAGAATGCTGTTGTTATGTCATTGGGCAAGACACTTAACCCACCTTGTCTGCTGGTGGTCGGAGAGACCGGTGGTGCCTGTGGATGGCAGGCCTCGACTCTGTCAGTGCTCCCCAGGGCAGCTGTGGCTACATCATAGCTCCTCATCACCAGCGTGTGAATGCATGGATGACTGTGTTGTAAAGCACCTTTGGGGGTTTTAGAATCCTTAGAAGGCGTTATACAAAAACACACACACAGGTGGTGAGGAGCTACGATGTAGCCACAGCTGCCCTGGGGCGCACTGACAGAGGCGAGGCCTGCCATCCACAGGCGCCACTGGTTCCTCGAGCCATATTGCAGTTAGCCAATGAGAGGCGAGATGTTTGCATTTCATGAATATTAACGAGTAAGACTAGTCATTCCCCATTTCTCTGACAAACTTCTACAGCAGGAGTGCCGAAGCTTTTTCAACCAACTCACTATCTATTAGGGATGAGCAAGTACACCACTATCTGTATCTGTATCTGTATCTGTATCTGTTCAACCAACTAAATTATCTGTATCTGTACTCGGAATGGGCGTGACATAACCCGGAAGTGGGCGTGGCATAACCCGGAAGTGGGTGTGGTTTACATCGATATATTATTTTAAGTCTGAAATTGATATGGAATGATCAGAAGTTGATATGTGTATTGTTTATTTGAAAACTATTTACAGAGCAGCCTCAGAATTGAGAATAAATATTTTTGATCACAATAGTAAAGGAACTATTACAGAACAAGTGTTTCAATAAAATCAGAACATAAGTGCATGGATTAATACATCTGAACTCATGCAGTAGGAACTAGGAAATATGAAATGCTAGAACCATACACACCTTTATGTATATTTTTTTATTTTAATTTAATTAAACAGATTTTTTTCTTAACGTTCTTGGCATTTTGCCCCACACAAAGTTAAACAAAACAATGTTGATTAAGGTGTGTGTGTCTGAGAGAGATAGAGAGGGTGAGAAGGAGAGAGATGGAGTTAAAAAAAATAAAAAACCCGACCGGAGCGGAGGTAGTGAGTGACTGATACAGCACGTCAGCTCTGTCTTGTCAAATGCACCATGAAAGTTACGAAAAAAGTAACTTTAAATATTCAACCAAAAAAGAGGCAAGCTGAAGAAAACCTAGGGAAAACTGAAGAAGCGTGAGCAACAGTGAAGCAATCACAGCGAGATCCATTACTGTCTGTGTGTGTGCATGGATGAGCCGGACGGACTGTGCTCCCGGCCGGCTAGAGAGTTTTGTGTGTAGGGAGGGGCGGGCGCTCTATGTGACTGGCCAATCACAGAGCGTGAAGACAGTCAGTTACCCAATGCAGATTTTCCTTCAGAACGATTACAGATATTTACGAGGTTTACCCATTTCATGCAAGTACTCGTCAAAAATGCTTTATCCGTACCGGATACTCGTCTGAAACGAGTATCCGGCTCATCCCTACTATCTATCCATTCATATTAAAGACCACAGCATGATTTTTGGAAATGAGAAATTTAAAGAAAATAAACATTTTTATTTGATCTAGTTTCCTTGTTTATCTTTAATTCAGACTTTCTGTGAATCACCTTTTAAGATTTCCACCCATGAGCTCTGGTCTTCTCACCTTTAAGATGGTACTGTCCAACTTCCGCAGCTCAATGCTGTTGTGACTGGGTAACGGGTTACCGGTGGCCGAACACTTGATTTTGGGACTAGAATTCAGATTCCACTCCAGGTTAGAATCCAAATCCAAAATCTGAGGAGCCCGGTCTGCAGTGAGAGAAGCAGGGAAACGGAAAACATGCAAAACTGAAACCAGATTGCTTGTTTTAAAGAGCAGCTGAGAGATTTCCAAAACAGAAGCAGCATATTTTAAATCCTTCAGGTTTTGACTCATTCTACATTATTGAAGCTTCTTTAGATAACTGCACACATTCATAACGGATTTCATATGAAATAACAATCTAGCATACCAGATGAAGTTGTTTATAATGATTCCTACCAGACTTTTCACAGTTCTGCCCTCTCCATCCGATGAGACACTGACATCCACTGAAACGATTGCAGACACCACCATTCTGACATTTACAGCTTAGCCTGCAGTCGGGTCCATACATGTTATTATAGCATGCTGAAAAACAGATTCATATCTTAATGACATGTATTCATGATACACTGAGGATACAAAGGAAGTAGTTCAGCGCAAACCTTTTTCACAGTGTCTTCCAAACCAGCCGCTAGCACATGAGCATCCATACGGGTCTGGTAGGCAAAAGCGAAGCCCCTTGCAGTTGCCGTTCGGCAAGGGGCCACACGACTCTTGGCAGTTTCGACCAAACATTCCTTCTCTGCAGGCTGTTCTCCATCAAAGAGAGGTACATTTACTATTGCGTTTCTTTTAATTCTTTGGATTTTGCTGCATTGTGTGGACCAAAGTATGGAAGGAGAGGATATTTGGTTTTACAGAAAACCCTGCTATGTGTGTTCATGGCCTCAAACTCTGATTATGAAGCATAGTTATAATCATCTGTGTTCCTGTGATTTTTCTCTCAGCTCCTCAGTCAATCACACACACCTGGTCTCAATTCATAGTTAGGCCACCTGTTCCTACAAACATGTCCCTCAGTATATGAGCAAGTTGGTTTCATTCTCTTGTGTCAAATTCTCCCAGGTAGTCAATTTTTGTAACCTGATGTTCTCTGATGGGACACGTTTCCTGTGTCTGCCCCTGAGTGGGGTTGGTTGGTTGGTTAATTAAAATGATTTTTGAGCCTCTTGCACTTGGGGCCTACTCCAACTACATAATGGCCCAATCGCAATACTCGCACTGTGCCCTGCAGACTTCAGCAAAGTGCACTTGGAGAAAGTGCGCTGTAAGGCTTCAACTGCGTAGTACACAAGTGTGCTAATAATTGCAGAACTGAGAAAGGGAGCATTGCGTCATCGATCAAAACGCATGCTGAGATGCTGGTCGCCGTGATATTTTTTCAAAAACCTTTCTTAACAACTTTTAAACAAACAGCCAAACTGTTGTTTGAAATAAATTTACATTTCTTACTGTTTTGTCTAAAAGTTTTAGAGCATCAACCAATCATCCTGAAATGAACTAATTTCATTAGAAAATACATATTTTCAGAAAATGATCTTGAGCCCTTTCTCCTGCAGTAATGACTTGTGGGTAATACCCTTGCCCGAGGTCTGCATGGCTGCGGACTTGTGTGAAGTTGCAGATTAATGGGCTCGACACACGGGAGGCGACATCGCCTCTCCTCCATTCATTTTCAATGAGACATGCGCGACAAAGCGATAATCACGGGTCTCCCTCCTACTAAGTGAAACGTGAAAAACGTGCGTGTGAAATTTTGCGCTCGTGCACGTGTCATGCACAGGCGACCCAGCGACGCGATCCCAGAAAGTTGAAATATTTTCAACTTTTCATCGCTGTCGCTCGGACGAGGACCAATCAACGGAGGCTTCATTCACTGACAGGATGCTCCGCACATCTCCAGCAAACATGGAGGAGAATCTGATACTTGCTGTGACGGATTTCCCAGAACTGTACAATATTTCTACCAAAGAATATAGAGATATTCACAAAAAGGCCGCAGCATGGGAAATTGTTGGTGCCAGAATGAAATGATGGTATTCTCCGTTTACTTTCTCTGGTTTGTAATATGGGATGAACCCATTCTCTGTGTTTTTTTTTAATATAATAAAATCAGAAGTAAGATTTCACATAACTCTAGCAGCACCTTGTGAAACATCATCTCTACCGCTTTTTAAATTCTGAACTGCTTAAATAACCTTAATTCCCTCCAACCCGACACAGCCAATCAAAACAACGGAAGATTCAATTTCGCCATGGAATGGAACACGTCAACGGCTTTGCCGCTGGCCGCAGGTCGCCTCCCGTGTGTCAGGTAATAAAAGCGACAGCGAAAAATTTTGCTGAAAGCGGTCGTTTGTCGCCTTCCGTGTGTCAAGCCCATAAGGGTGCAATGGGGCGTGGTCAACTTCTGCACTTGAGAATCGGGACACCCTACGTACTCTCACCCCTGGCCGGGAACGCGCAATTGAAGGGCACAAGGGTGCAAGTGCGAGTATTGGGATTGGGCCAATGACAATGTCTCCAAGGCCCAATCCCAATGCACTCACTTCCACCCGTGCACCCTTCAACTGCTCATTCCAGTCCAGGGGTGTGAAATTGTTGGGTTACCCGATCCTCAAGTGCAGAAGCTGACCACACAACGCAACAATGTGGACTTGAGCGAACAGTATTACCCACAATCCATTGCTGCGTGGGATTTTTAAGAAAAAGGCGGAACAACGGCTCAAGTGTCTTTTCTGAAAATATGTATTTTCAAACAAAAATTTATTTTAAGAAAATGAATATTTATTCGTGCTCTGAATGTTTACAGACTAGGGAATAGCCATGAATGTACATTTTGTCATGTTGATAGTTGTTAATAAAGATTTTAAAATAAAACTAGCGAAAACAGCGGGTCGATGACGCAATGCTCACTGTCCCAGTTCAGCAAATATTAGCACACTTGTGTACTACACACTCGTAGCCTTACTGTGCACTTCCTCCAAGTGCGCTTTGCTGAAGACAGTAGGGTGCACTACGTGTATTGGGATTAGGCTTAAGTGTGTGTGTGTGTGTGTGTGTGTGTGTGTGTGTGTGTGTGTGTGTGTGTGTGTGTGTGTGTGTGTGTGTGTGTGTGTGTGTGTGTGTGTGTGTGTGTGTGTGTGTGTTGTGTGTGAGTTCATGTTCATGAGTTGACAAGTCTCTGCATCTTTTTACTAACTCATTCAGACATCCATATCAAACTGTATTTGGAAGGTTGCTGAGCTCGAGAACGTACCCATCTCACAGCGTGTCCCCATGAATCCAGGAGGGCAGACGCAGTCCCCGTTCACACCATGACAAACTCCAGCATTAAGGCAGACCGGGCAGTCCCTGTCGCAGGCAGGACCCCACTTCATATGAGGACAGTCTACACAAACACAGTTTCATCAAAGGGTAAATCACCTGTATTTGTATAGCACCTTCTTAGCGTTCTACAACCAACCCCCCCCCCCCCCCCACCACCCCCCACCCCCACCCCCAAGGCGCTTTATAACACAATAAATAATTCACCCCTTCACACTCAAATGGGAATAGCTACGATGTAGCCATAGCTGTCCTGGGGCGCACTGACAGACGCGAGGCCTGCCGAACACTGGTGCCACCGGCCCCTCCGAAAACCACCCAACTACAGCATTCTCTGGTCTCTGGTGGATACTGAACCTGCAACCTTCCGATTACTTGGCCCAAAGCTTTTTCTGATTTGCTGAGTTTTAATTATAATTTGAAGGTGAAAGTAATGAAATCTGAAGACTTCCAGAATATTTCTGTCTGACATAGGAGAGGATCAATGAAAGTGGAGGGTGGACATGGGGTCATTGATTGGTTTAATCAACCCAGAAAAGAGAAGAGTTCATTCATTTGTTAAGTTTCTTCTTGAACAAATCTATAAAAATATTTTTCTGCAAACAATTAAGCTTTTTGAGGCAATGTTTGCTAAAACATTTTGTTATTGAGATTTATTATACAAAATTACTTAACAATTAAACAGAAATGCATCCTAAACCATAAAAGCCTGTATAAAAATGGATACATCTGAACAATGCCCAAAACCTTCTCATGTTCTAAAGATAGGTTGACATTAGAGTCAGGAGTGAGAAACAAACTAAACATGAAACTAAAAAAGTTTGAGCTTCACAAAAACTTAATTAGCTTTCTATGATTCATAAGCAAATGAGATTGCTCAAAACTCTATTTAGCTAATGAAACTTGTCAAACCTTTTGTTGATTCACAAAACTACATTTGAAGGATTTAGACTTTCCATTCCCAAAGGGTGGCTGCCCCCCCCCCCCCCCCCAGCAAAATCCAGTGGTAATAAATCAGATTAATGATCACCCAAACCATAAATTGATATTATTTATTCAATACATAATTGTAAAAATAAATAAAAATAATACAATTAATGAGTAAGAAAAAAAATTTCTGCTGCTCACCGTATAAAAAAGTGAATAAAAAACATTTTAAAATAAAATTTGAAAAACCTTTTAAATAACTGAAATGTATTTTTCTGAAATGTTTGTGTTAAATGTTTTGGATACGTACTATTTTTAAAAAATAAAAATAAATAAAGGAGCAATGCAATACATCACCACAGGCTAAACTCTCCCAGAGTTACCACAAGGACCAATTTGGTGTGCCACCCAAAAATGTCTTTGGCCCCATCTGGCCACCACTGTCAAGATTTTCTGGAGGCACCCCTGGATAAAACCAATAATTGTTACTCCTAGTTGACTGAAACATTTCAAGAGCCTAAAGTATTAATCTGTGAATGTTTAATTAGTCCATTAGTCAGAGAAAACACAGGACACTGATGTGCAAGACAGAAAATAGACCCCAGCTCATCTGCTCTGATTATAGAATCAAACTGATGTTTAAAAAACAAGAACAAGCAACTCTTTGACCTGAATCAGGAATAGTCTAGAAGGTGTAAGGAAAACTTTTCTTGTTTACAGCATGAGAACCTTCTGCTATCTTTCAGGCCTGTTGGGCCACATGTGGGCAAAGGCAGCTGTCCAATACTGATGGAGAGATGATTAAAAGTCTGTCACAGACTCTAAATTGTGGTTCTGAAAAAATAAAATGGATTTTTTTTTAATTGCCAAGTCAAACTTTTTAATCCAACAAAAATATTTTTGCAAAGATCTAAAGCAAGTGGTTTATGTAAGGAAACCCACAAACATCCAGTTGTTGAAGCCGTCCTGTACGGAGTAAAGGAAAAAAAATGAATCCAAGCTGCTGCACAGTTACTGGAAGTATTTAGCTGGAGCTGTTTCTGCATGTGGAGGCCACACCAACTCGTGTGATGAACTTTAGCTTTTGCAAAAACTATCTGCAACATTATCTATTTTTCTTGATAACTTAGTGAAAAGTGGCAATGATCCATGGAAAATGCTCGTCACTCCTCCTAAACAGGAAAAACAAACGTCGGCCAGTGATGTGAAAGAGGCTGTGGTGAAATCTGAAGTCTGCCTTGCCCTTACTCTCTTCATGTTGACCATAACTAAGCAAAGTCTTAAATAATTTGGTTTGAATAAAGATGTTGGTAACGCTTCCTTTTACAGACCCCTAATTACTAAGTACTTACATGGTAAGTGTGTTATTGTGTAATTACAGTGTTTAATTGTAATAAAGTGTAATCATTGTGTAAAGCAGTACTTACTAGGAATTATTAATACAAATAAAAACTCAAATTGAACCTGCGTTACATGGTAATAACAGTTTAAGAACTCAGAAACAATAATACACTTTAACTTACTATGTAATTACCATGTAAGTACTTAGTAATTAGGGGACTGTAAACAGAAGCGCTACCAAGATGTTTTAAAGGTGTTGAATCAGAATCATATGACCACGTTTGGGAAATGGCTGCAAGGCTGCCTATAGTGAAAGGATTGTGTGTAAGGGAAAAACGAATGAGTCGTTAATACTTATTGTGTGTGAAGGTTCAAGGAATTTAAAGTAAAAAAAAAATGTTAATTATATTGAAAATGTTATGAAGTCATCTCAAGTGTTTATACAAATTTTACTAAGCTCCTACAAAGTGCATTAATCTGTAAGTGTTGGTTGTTGATGTAAAAGTAAGGATTAGGACAGGAAGTAAAAGGTTTTATTCTGGGGGCCAATGGCTGAGCGAGAAACAGGAAATCGGTTACCATGGAACCCAGTTGGGCATGAGGACAAGTCAGCTGATGTGAACAGCTGGCTGTAAGGAAGTGCAGACTCACACACACACACACACACACACACACACACACACACACAGTCTCAGACTACAAAAGCCGGGTCAGACAGAAATCTGGGTCCTTTCCCCGCCTGTCAGAGCACCAATCAACAAGTGATGAAGACTGACACTATGGAGGGCTTTGGGGTGCGGTCGTCACACCCAAACACTGGATTGCTGTGCAGGCATCCCACAGAAAAGTTCCATCACCATAGGGAATGATCAGATCAGAAAACCCCAGAGTCTGAGCCGGCGTCAAGTCGCAGACATCTCCTGGATCACTCACTGGAACACCAACGTCTCCCAAAAATCAAAAACTTTAGAGCAGAACATCAACTCAGCAAACTTTTAAAATCTAGAAAATACACTTTCAGCAAGTTTTCTACGCACATGATCAACTGGATGCGTACCGATGCTGTCAGAGAAGAACCAAGCATGCCGTATGTTAACATCAATATGAACTTTACGGCATCATATTGTGTCCTGACTGAAAACATCAATATTTTTTATAAACTTTAGATATTTTCTAGTCTTACCATTTCAGATGTGCATTACCTCAAAGAGTTATTCTGCCAGTTACATGTCATGTCCGAGATAACAATAGCATGACCACTGGTTGCAACCTAGGTCTGCAGACCAGCATCTCTGAACCACAGCATGTTGAACCTTGACACTGGTGGACTCCCGTCAGCTAACAACAGGAAACTGAGGCTATAATGAACACAGGATCATTATAACTGGACTGTAAGATACTGGAAAACCCTTTCCTGGTCTCATGAGTCTAGACTTCAGCTGGTTGGATCAGAATTTAGTGTGAGCTTCAGTCTGCTGCTGCTAGTGGTGTAATGCTGTGTGTGGGTGTGTGTGTGTGTGTGTGTGTGTGCGTGCGTGTGTGTGTGTGTGTGTGTGTGTGTGTGTGTGTGTGAGACCCACTTTGGACTCGGGGTGTAAATCACTAGTATGATCATGATACTGTATGGCAGCGAGACAGTGGATTGTCTCACTGCTCACCATGCTAGCGTCATTTACCGCTTTAGTGATGTGCAGGAGCAGACGAAAAATGGCATGTAAGTAGGACTGAAAAATAAAGCAAACTTCAAAATTAAAGTCTGTGTTATAAATAGTTATTATTTAGATTGATGATCATTTAATCTATGTATCGATGTAAATTAATGTATTCTTACACTCCTGCTTTGGATCCTTAAGTTTATGTTTATATGTTTATGTTTATTTATTTAGCAGACGCTTTTATCCAAAGCGACTTACAGTTTATAACCTATAGGGCATGTTGTGATCTGTGGGGGGAAACCGGAGTACCCGGAGGAAACCCACGCATGCATGGGGAGAACACGCAACTCCACTCTTAAGTACCAACTGAGTATTGTTGCTGACCACGTCCATCCCGCTTAGACCACAGTGGACACATCTTCTGCTGGATGCTTCCAGCATGATAATGCACCATGTTGCAAAGCTCAGATCATCTCTTCTGGTTTATCGATCATGATGAAGAGTTCCAGCCACCTCCACAGCCACCAGATCTCAATCCAGTCCGGAATCTTTGGGATTCTCATCATGAATGTGCAGCTAACAAATCTGCAGATCCTGTGTGATGCTTTCTGGTCAATATGAACTAGAGTCTCAGGAGGACTCCCAACATCTATGACACAGCAAATTTAAACCAATGGAGGTCCATCCCAGTGCTAACCAGGTGTCCCTAATAAAGAGACCAGTCAGTGTACTGTACAATGAGGTGAAATGTAAAGATTCATCTCCTTATATAAGCTGTGTCCCGTCTGTACCCACAAACTGCTGCTAGGAACACGATGATCATCAGTGTGTGAAAGTGAGGACTCAACCAACCTCTAACGATAAGTCTCATCCAGGCTCCGTTGAGTGGGCTGTCCCCAAAGTAGCTGGCACTGAAGACGCCTTGATTGGCCAAAGTTGCATTCTCCACCACCAGCGTTGCGGTGCGATTCACCACTTCATTCCAGTGAGTCATATAATAGTAGTTTCCTGCAAAAACATGTTAAAACTTTTACAGCATGAAGTACAAAATGTTTTTGTTTCCTCGCGATCCTCCGTCATGGGCAGGGACGTGTCTCTGATGGTGCCACGTGCTCTCCCTGCCAGTGTTTTGATTTATCCAGGATTCCTTACCGTTGTACTTCCAGGTCACGTCTCTCTTTTCAGGGCTGAGGAGCTTCATGGTGAGATGAGCGGTCTCCCCCTTGTTGACGGTCAGCGTAAGGTAGTGTGGGATGAAATTAGCTGGAAACACAAAGACACACATGTAAACACGGAGAGCACGCCTCCTCTGAATCTGGCTGTGTGAAAGCTGAACAGACCAGTGCCGATGTTGTTGATCATCGTGACTTTCTGCAGGGGGACTTCCTGAGTGGTTTCACAGTAGAAGATACCAATGTTTTCTGGATGGCGGAAATCTCTGGCCACGACCTCTTTGGATGTGGGCTTGTTCACCGTAAAACTCGGCTCTCTGGCTAATTGGAGGATCTTGTTGTCCCTCTTGATGTTCAGCTCAACCCGAGCGGAGCTGCGCTCACCATTGATGCAGGAGATATAGAAGTGGTTGATGTGGGTGGCCTCTGCCGTGGAAATCATCGTCAAGTCGATGACGGCACCTGAAAAACAAGAAAGGGGGTGGGGTGGGGTTCTTAGAATATTTTTGCTCATGAAAGTTTGTAAGATTATTTTATTTCAACGTGAAATGTTGAAGACAGGAAGACCTGTGCTGAAAAAGTGACGTTTCAAGTAAGATCGACTACTATTGTATATTTATTTATTCTTTATTTAACCAAGAAGGTCCCATTGAGATGCTCTCAATCTGGTTTTAAATGTATTCAAAGCGATAAGCTCAGGTCATTTCCAGTTTTCCTGCAGCCTGCTCCATGCAGAAGGAGCAAAATGAACGAAAACCATTTGGCCCAGTTCTGTGCGAGTAAATGGAACATAAAGTAACAACTGATCATTTGCACGTGTCATGGTCTGCGTCTGCGTCTCCCTCATGTGTCTCCTGGTGTTCTCCATCCCCCTCTAGGATTCCCTTATGTGTCTCCTTGTGTTCCTCGTGTGTCTCCTCGTCTACAGCCCCCTCCAGGTTTCTCCCTCCAGGCGTCCCCTCAGGTTCTGTGTCCCTTGTCCCCCAGCCCACTCCAGGTTCTCCCCTTAAGCTTCCTGTGCCCCTTCTTGCCTCCAGCTCCCACCAGGTTTCCCAGGTTCACCTATTCTTGTTTTCTTGTATTATCTAACTAGTTTTATCCTATAGTTGTCATAGGTTCAGGCTTTCTTCTCCTAGGTTCCTTGGTCCTTCCCAACCGGTTTAGTAGTTCTCCCTTTCTCCTTAGATCTTTATTTTGTTCTCCCAGTCTTTAGGTTTTGGTTATTATTCATAGGTCATGTTTATTTTACCTTCTCAGCTTAGTTTCCTCTCCCTGATTAGTTAATTGAATTCACTAGGTTCTCTCTCCTCACGCACCTGCAGCTCATCTCCCATTCATCCCGCCCCTGTGTACATAACCTTGTCTGTGTCTCTCTGTGTTGTTGGTCCATTGTTTGTGTCAGCCTCGTCTCACCCCCCTCTCTAGGTTTTAGTATCTCTCTTGGTCTCTTGTGTTCTTGGATCTCTCTCGGTTTTGATAGTAGGATTTTTGGACTTTGGTCTTTGGCTCCCTGCCTCCTTTGGATTTACTCCTTAATAAAGGATTTTAGTTTTTTTCCACCTCCTGCCTCGTGTGTCTAGTTCTGCATCTTGGGCCCTAACCTTCCTCCAAACGCACATCCTGACAGCACGTCTAATGTGAGAAGTTACACTTCTCCGTGAGATTACGTTACAGATGTAGTAGTGATCTAAGCATGGCCTTATAAATGTAAGTGTACCAATGTCCCAACCTTCTGGTGAATAAAGGCCATCCCACTCGAGAATACAATTCACAATGATGGGTCAGTGGTCCAGTTAAACTTCAGTCAATCTTTAGATGTGTGCAGGGTAGGCCATCCTGGTCCTTGAGTATTGAGCATGTTTAAAGTGATAAACAGGCTTCTGCAGAGCGTGAGGATGTGCTGAACAGGTGATTCAACCATTGAATCAGGTGTGTTTGAGCAGGGAATCAGCTAAAACATGCGGGATAGTGCCACCCAAGGACCAGGAATGCCTACCTGTTGGATTGGATTGTGCTTTGTTTGCAGGTTTGACATAATGACCTGTCAGTGAGCTGCAGCTGTGGCTACAATGTAGCTCATCACCAATAGGGTGTGAATGAGTGAGTGACTGATTGTGTTGTAAAGTGCCTTGGGGGGCGCTATATCAAATACAGGCCTAGTACCATTAACCCTTTGATGCATAATGGTCAATACAGTGGGCAGGTACTCAAATTTGTTGTTTATGTATTTTTGCTATTAAGCACAGCTGTTGAAGGCTTTATTGCATTTGAGTCCCTCCAAGCCAACATATTTCATGTTCAGATTGCACACTGTCCACTGAGCTGGACATGTAATAAATTATTTGTAAATTAAATGTTACAAAAAATATATAAATATGAAATTTGTTTCATTCACACCTAAAGATGAATGAAAAAATTTGTTAAAAAATCATGGTTGAAGATTTCATAATTCATGCATCAAAGGGTTAACAAAACTGTTTGTCTCAGTGGCTTATGAGGCTTTCTGTCCACTCAACACCCCTTGTTTCCCTCAAAATCCTGTAAAGTTCACGTTCAACATTTCATTTCTTACATCCCAACAAAAAAGGGTGCCAAGAAAACCGTCTAATGCAAGAAGCAGTCTTCATATGATCTCTGTCCATTTATGACACAAGTCACTCTTTAAATTGACACCATATTTTGGGTTGAAAAATAAAACACAGGAGCTTTATCTGGCTAAACGTGCCAAACACAATAAGGTCCACATTCCTTCCCTCTGGATCTGAAACCCAACATCCTCAGAACAATGGGAGGAAGTATGGATGTGCTCCTGTTTCTCCTGAGGATTCAGAGACCTAACCTCCAATCGGACAAGGATTTGCCTATTTAAGTCGTTATTAATTTAAATAGTGTGGTTGTAGCTAAAACAATCACTTGTCAACTTCAAATTTTGCTTATTGATTCTTTCATAAAAGTAAAAAAAAAGTTATTTCTCACCTGATAAATCAAAGAAACACACCAACACCCACACAGTCCTCATGACTTGTAAAATCCGCATTAGAAAGACGTGTTTATTTTTCCAACTCAGTCTCTCAGAACTCCGCACCTAAAACGGTGCCGCTGCGCCACGAAGATGCGCCTTTTTGCGCATAACGACTTCCAAAGCTTGTGGTTGGTAAAATCTCCGTAACACAAGTAAGTATGAAGAGATGGTACCACGGTGCTGTCAGGCTGAACAGAGCTAGTTGCGGTAAAGCTCAGCCTTCTCTGGGTGGGAACGGAAGGAAGAGCGTCACCAGACAGCGGAGGATCACTGGCGCGCGGGCTCCCCGAGCCCTGCTGATGAATGCGTTAATTATCAGTTAGCTGTTGTTCTGATTCGGACCATGATGTTACTGATTCTTATAGCAGAAAATAAAAACTTTTTTTAAATATTACAATCCGCTGATACGTTTTTTTATTATTGCTGCAACCTACAATGAAAAAAATCAAAACATCATTCAGTTTTGATTACAAGCAAAAATATTTTATTTTTAAACAGCACAGCATATAAAAGGAGGTTTTTGAACAACTGTTGCACAGAAAATGAGCGTGCATTTCTCACATAAGTAAATTAGCAGTTGGGGTTTTTATGAATGCAAGTGATTTATGCACTGGTGTGCTTCTCAGCCTGAGCCTGCAGGTTCTGCCAAATGCAACAGCTTTGTTCTTTCACTTCGATGAGCTGCAGCTTTTATGGTCATCCATCCAGACTCCCCCTTTCCTCCTCATCACTCACCCCCAGGAAACGATGAACAATATGCTTGTTGTGTCTGTTTTTTGCCCCAATCTTCGCTACCCTGCTATGATGGAACAACTGAACTTCTCATTTTCTCCATGCATGAAAAGCCCACTGGCCTGGTTTGGTGTTTTCTATACAGCTTCAGACAATCGCCTTGAAGTTCAAACAACTTCTTATTGTTTGAGATTTCCTGTTTTCAGTTTTTTTGGAAGGGAGACCACGTGGGTTTCTTTTGCATGTCAGGAGCAGGCTGTTGAGAGAAAAATCATTAAAGTCTAAAAACCCTAAATAAAAGTCAATATGTGTTATAAGTAATAAATAAGATGGACAAACCCTCTGTGTCGATCGTCACCTGTAGGTTTCCGAGGCAATAAATGAAGCTCAGTCAGTTACCACCACTGCCATCTTGGCCGCCTTCTGCAAATACAAAAAAATGGAAAGCGAGACTGTGAGGGTGAGGTCAGAGGATTGACACCAACAAACTCTGATCTAATGTTGCGAGCTAACAGACCTAATCAAAGCTAATGAATGATGGCAGGTGCTTTTAGCCAAGATCCATCGCCTTCTAGGTTGTAAGACGTTTAGCGTGAGCTCGAGGCTGAGGACTTCCTTACAGCAAACAGGAGCACATGCTGCTACCGCTGATGGGTGCACCTGTCAATCAAATGGACACGCCCCTGACTATTGATAAGTTCAAGCTTGTAAATGGATGAGGTACACAAAAATGCGCCCCCACCCCAAAGTTGTAATAACTGTAAAATGGACCTATTAAACCTAAAATTTTGTTTAGAACTAGACTGTAAACATGTTTATTTCTGCTGTGAAGTTGGCTTTTTCAGCATGGGAGTCAATGGGAACATGCTCCTTTCTAGATCCAGCCCCTAGTGGGTGAGGGGGGACTGCGTTTTTATTTTCTCTCTCTTCTGCGTGGCTTCACTTTTGGCTTGAGGAGTTTGCCCTTTGGTTAATGTGCAAAAACTATAATGGGTGAACCCAGACTAAAACTGTTATTAACAGTGGCCCCTATGACCAGGTACTGTAACTCGTGTGTAATTCAGGTGAACTGGTTTGAGAGGGTTTTGTTGTATGTGTGGTTTCTGTGAATCAGCTGAGAACAAGTCTTCATTTTCACACTAGTCTTCAGAATGCTGACTACAACATTGGCCAAGGTAAACAGTCTTTATATTTGCAAGACATAAACAACTTTGCAAGCTTCTCTTCATTTACTGTTTTATTTTAAAGAAATTTGAACATCTTTTGGGAATAGATGACACAGTGCTCATAACAATTAAATGCTAAGGCATGAAAATGTTGCACTCTGCAGACAGCTTGGTGGAGCCTGCATCAGAAGCCAAAAAGGAAAGACTTAAGGCCAGGTCAACACAGATGCTTCAGGTTTTGGCAACATGAAACCTGTCATGAGCCAAAATTACAGAAAAAAAAAGGTGTGAGTTCCTTGTGTGGGTCTGTACGTGAGCATGAAATCTGTATATATATATAAATGTGTGTGTGTGGGGGGGGGGGGGGGGGGGGCAGAGGGGACGGCGCTCCAAAAAGAAAAGAGCATTTTGGCCTTCTGCCAGCTGTAAATAAAATGTGTAATCTGTTTTTCCTACTTAACTACAGTGTGTGTGTGTGTGTGTGTGTGTGTGTGTGTGTGTGTGTGTGTGTGTGTGTGTGTGTGTGTGAGCGCGCGTGTGTGTAAAGGAAATGGTTCTTGCTGGGTGGACGTACAGGGTGGAGGCTCCTATATCGCAGCTCTAATAGTCTTTGTTGTTCTGTGATTATCAACTGTTTGTTATTGATATCATTTGCTTAATGGAGAGAGCAGATGAGGACATTGCCCTTTTCTGACCAGCTTCAAAAGCAAAGATTATTTTGTAAGGCAGATCACGTCAAATATTAAAATGTAGTATCTATTCCAAGCCAGACTTTCTTTAGATCTTTTAAAATGGTTTTGATCAGAGTTCCTCATCTTTGAGAATATATTTAAAGGTGCAGTGTGTAAGAATGACATCCTGTGGTCAAGTTTGGTTACTGCAGCAAATGTTTTAGTCAAAAGTTACCTTCTCACTGTCATTCATGAGCTTCATGGCTGTTGCCAGTTACGGATCAGCACCAGAAGATTTTAGATGATAAACAAAAACAAGTCATACACAGTGATTTGATAAGTAGATTGTTGTATCTGGTTATAGCAATCTTGTGAGTTTTACAGTAGGGAGCACTTATTACACTTATTATGATAATAAGCATCTGGCATTAGAGGAGGTGTGGTTGTTAGCCATCTTGCTGTTAGCTTGCTGGTATGGTTCTGGACGACTCAATAAAGGAAGTAAAATGCCACGATTGACTCATTATTTACTTCACACATTCATTTCACTGTAATATCCAGTTGTTGGTAATTGAAGAAGTAGCTTGAGATATTTTTAGACTATTTGCTTCTTATTCACCGTTAGCATTGCTAGCTCAAAGTTAGCCTATAGCCTGCTTCACTCAATATTAAAGTAAAACAAAAAAATTCCATGGCTTCTGTGGGGTACAAAAAATTACTTCAGAGTTGCACCTGTTTACTGACTTTGGGTGTTTCAACAACTCTGGGGCTTTTGCCTGCAGGTGTCAAGTTACAAATGTCAGCAATGTCGTGTTAGCTCAACAACCTCACGGGCTCACCGATGGTGACCAGCGCTATGTTCCTTTTTTGTTGTTTGATAGGATAAGACTGACAACTCCTCATCCAGCCAGAATGAAATCTGTTTCTGTCATTAGACTGTTTGGGAATATTTCTCTGCAGAATTCTAACGTATTGCTCCTTTAAAGGGTGTAGTTTAAAATGTAACCAGTTTCAGTACTGGACTAACATTTTGGGCTTGCTTTGAGTATTAGCCTGGACACTTAACTCATGAATTGTTCAAGTGGAAAAGAAGTCTCCTGACAGACATCAGAAACAAATTCTGAGTCAGATCTTTAGAGACTTTGTCACCAGCAGCTTAATATAAACACATGCATTATTTGATTTAGCTGAATTTATGAGAAGTAATGGGAAAGAGCCAGTTTGACTGAGAGAGAATTTATATTTTAGTGCTAACAAGTAGATTCCCAAAGCTGCAAACCTGGTTTATACATTTCATAGGATCGGAATTTTAAAAAACTTCTTAAAAACTGGCTTTCAAACAATTCTACCTGTTGGATCTGCCCTTTGCTTATCTGTTTTCTTCATGTTTTTAAACAAAAACTAAATAATGCCATGTCAGGTACAAAAGCTGGACAAAACCCTGATTAAAAGGCAGCAAGAATTTTAAGAAAAACTGAGCAGGTGTCAAATAATCCAAAAAATGTTGGATTAAGAACACATTAAAACATTACAAGAAAGTCCAGCTGATTGAAATAAAAATAAACAAGTACTTTCAGACATTTGGAACTTATACTCCAGGACATGGTTGTCCAAAATATGGCCTGGGGCCAGATGTGGCCATCTGAGTGATTTTGTGCCACAACTAGTTTATCTTGAATGATTAATTTTGCCTCTCCACTGGGCTGTTGATGTAACTGTTATATGTTCACTTTTTACAAATATACCTAATTTCTGATCTGTTTTAAGGAGTACAAATATAAATGGCCTTATGACAATGTATTAAATGCCTTGTATTAGATTCAGTCAAAGAAACCTAATTATTTTAGCTCGTGAGGACAATTAAATTGAATACTTTGGCCCTTGTCTTGAAAAGTTTGGACACCCTTGCATTAAGAATTGGATGCTGCAATTGGCTAGTCAGAAGATTATTCACCTCTACAGTTTACCATATCAGTCTATAATTGCCTTTCTATTTGTGATCACCTCTTACCATACCATTTTATTTGTTTGGCACAATTTTATACACAGCATGAGAGCTGACCAAAGTGTTTCACAGGTAACTACAGCAAATAAAAACACTAAAATACGGATATAAAAAAAACAAACTCACAGATAAGATAACAATTTAAAACACAAGAAGAGATTAAAACACTAAAAGCACAGTTTAGACAATAAAACAGAGAAACTACCCCACATGTCAGATATTAAAAGCTAATCCATAAAAGTGGGTTTTCAAGTGAGACTTAAAAACTGCCAAAGGAGAGCCTGCCTTACAGTAATGGGCAGTGCATTCCACAGCTGGGGGGCAGAATGGAAAAACGCTCGCTATGCCCTCGATTTATAGCACATTCGTGGAATACAGAGCAGGAGGTGATCAGCTGACTTCAACAAGCACGTGGGAACATTAGGTGTAAGAAGTTCTGACAGGTATGCTGGTGCTTCATCATGTAGTGTTTTGAAAACAAAATTCAGCAGCTTGAACTGTACACGGAATATGACAGGGAGGCAATGAAGACGTGCAAGGACCGGTGTGATGTGGCTACGTCTGTTTGTATTTGTTGGCAACCTAGCAGCTGCTCTCTGGACAACCTGTAGCTGATTTAAGACTGAGTTGGGAATGCCAGTGAGGAGCGCGTTTGCGTATC